GTACTTATATACGTTTTGTAATAAAATTTGTCTTGTAAAATATTTCACGTTAATCTGGTTCTTAATTAAATAAAGTGTTAGGTTATAACAGTTAATTTAATAAAATTGCATTGCGTATTTTAATGTTACGTGTTAGTATCTTACTATTTCGATTCATACGAGTTTCTACAAATATGAATTATTTAACTTCTTTAGAAGAAGAAATTAAAACATTAGTTAACTAATTTCCAAAGATGCCTCTTCACTCCTAATTAATACCCTTAATTGTTATAATGGGAAGCATCATTGCTAGTGTGTTAGATGCTACATTGATCATCATCAACTGCAAGTAAGGATACCAATCTTTCATCGTTACGTTTGTTTTGCAACAATCATTAAGATGTTTTCTGTTCTTGGTGTTATAATTGTTTTAATTTTGTATTTGTTATAAATATTGTTTATTTTACAGGGTTACGCCGAGACACCTTAGATGGAAGTGAAGATCGAGTAAGAGATTTACCTCCAAGAGGTGGTCATCAAGGTGCAGGCAATTCAGGGTACATGGGTGGTAGACAAGGTCGTCCTCCAACTCAACGTAGAGATCGTAGAGACGAACGTCGCCGAACCACCGATGACGAAGACACCGTTCTCGATAGCCAAGATGTTTCAAGCATTGATAGAGGTAGTAATATTTTATTTTCTTAAATAATACTTCATAACAGCACTACCGTTTTGTCCTAAAGACGATAGAATAGTAAAAAAAAAAAAAAGTAAGAGCTTTGAGATTGGCATGGATTGTGAAGCAAACACTTGTGACCATCTAACACTAACAATATCAATGATAATTACTAACGCACCTCACTAATGAATGCAGTGTAGCTTAAAACTGATTATCATGTAACTATCAGTCATGCTTTATAATGTAATATGAAAAGATGGTCACAATGGTTTGTATATGCATAGAGTCTGTATCAAGTGTGGAGGGAGGACCTAAAGGTATAAGGCGAAGACGGATTCGACGGTCTCGACAACGTAGCGTTACACCAACAAGTAATCAAAAAGGTAACTACATAAAACAGGTCAGCAATAGCGCTTTAGGACAATCGGTTTTGTAAAAATCTAATGTTTAAGTATAATTAATTCTGAAAAAAAGATTTACATAGAAACGCTCAAAGTTAATCTATGCTTTGGTTTAGGCAGTAATGCCGGCCCAGGAGACCAGTCAACTGTAACTAGTAAGGAAGGAACACCAGCAAATGACGTTTCTACTACTAACAACAGTTCCCAAGGGCCTAAAGGCCAAAGAGAACCACGGCCTCGTCATACCCGTATGCAACAGAGCAATAAGCCTAAGGAAGCTCTGGTTAATGGTACCAGTGGCTAAATAACCTGTATGGTCGACAGCTGCTACTTACATATAACACTACACCTGATGAGAGCTATTAACACCCGGCACATAACATGACGCATACCTACGCAAGGACTACACGATTATGGAACGCGACATGATTAGTCTACGCTCGTTGTTAAGACTGTTTGCTACCGATAAGAATACGACAGTTGTTTAAGAAATCGTCATTCTCCTTAAACACATTTAAGGACACATATTAATATCCATGCATGGTTTAGTTTAATGATAGTAATTATGCTGTCATGTTTGATATATGGATACATTCATTGGGAGATAGTAGAAGCATCTGGTAAAAAGAAAAAAAAAAAAAGAATCCCCTGATTGTGAAACTGTGCCTCATTTTTATACCGAGCTCCCAACTTGTGTGACAGTAATTCGGATGTACTATAAAGTACCTCTTAATCATTCGTGAAATGATCCAATAATAGGCTGGATATTCGTGGCTCGTACGTCAATTATCAATTCGAACATCTTTCTCCTAGATATGTCGCTACATTTATGAAAAAATAACACAATGCGTACGGAATTACAGGATGTAATCAATATCAATGTTATTTTTAATTTTTTTAATAATGCAGTGTTTGCAGCAAGAAATTGTTGACGCGTTTGTTACGATTTTACGACATTGATGTACGTTAAGAAAACGTACGTGTTTTGTGTTATTTTTATATTAATGTTAGAAAAAAAAATGAGTGAATATATTTGATATATTTATTTTCGCGGCAAAACTAGGATGAAACGTAACGTGATGCAAGACAAAAAAAAATGGATTTCCATTGTTAAACATAACAATGGTAGGCGGCAGCTGCATGAAATCTTGGTTAAAAGGCGTTCCCAATGATGTTCCTTCTATTTACTTCACAAGATTGAGTTTTTTTTTTTTTTTTGGTTTACAATTATTCGTAGTTATTTAACGACACTAGATTTTTATGTTTCAATGCTGAGTGTTGATTAATAATACCATGATGAATGCTAAAATAACTTACTTGATTATGAAAGAACACAAATGGATGTGCACAAGACGTCGGTTTTTATTTCCGGGTTCACTTTTCACGTAATTTAGTCTTTTTTGTTTTTTATTACAGTCTAAGCATACTATATCAAATATTAGAATTTGATATGACGTTCGTTTTTGCATTGTTTCGCATGATTTAAAAAGAAAGTAAACGTATACTTAGTAATACCAATGTATGATGTGCCAGAGAAGGAATGATACATGTTTTATGATATCTAGCTGAAGTGCAGACTTAGCGCATACCTTTATTACTATAATACTACTTAGTCGAAATGTGGATGTCTGAAAAAAAATAAACTAGCTTTACTATACTAAGCTATAAAATAGATACGGCTAGCTGTTTTAAATTGATTATCAGTGAAAATGAAAAATTATCTGTCAATTTAAAACAGTTGCCTCTTCTTCCGGATATGACAACAACTAATCGGACGTGTCTTATGGATTTTGCAAAAACGCATGGCGGTTGATGCAACACATTGACACCTAACAAAATAGCTGCCATTTTATCTGAATATTCACATGGCAGCCAAAAAACTGAGATATCCCCCAACTTGCTTGTTTCAGATACATTTGTATTGATTGCAATTTGTGCATAATTTAAGAATAAAACATTTCTGTACATAGAGCGGTCATTAGTATGATGAACCACAATTTTTTCAAAACATTGATAATCATTTTCTAATCTTAACAGTCGTTTTAAAATAAAACCTTTGTCCCTAATCCTCAAGTTCCTTATGTCGTATCTTGTTAAAAGTTTTCACAATTCTTTAACTTCTTTTGTAGAGTTTTCAAGGTAGTAACGATACTTACAATTAGATTAAAATTTAATAATTATCTTAACAATTTTACTTAAAATTATTAAATAATATTAAGGATAATATTAATTCCATAGCAATTCAAATTTAAAAATTTGCACAAGTACACTTTGCCATTACTTTATTACTTTATATGTTTGTATTTTCATATAAGACAACATTCGAACTTAACTTTGTGCAATACTTGAAAATTAAAACATTCTGTTTCCGCATATATTGCATAAGAATCACTTTTATGGTGATTGTGAAAACTTTTCTAAAGTTAACATACATTGCACTTTTCAGATGCAACAAAGGAAAATAATAAATCCATAAAGTATTGTTTAAAAATCAAAAATCGATTTACCGTGCTTGTTACTATAATCTTTTATTTTATTATAAACTCTTACTATAAGTTTAAATAATATTTGTAAAGTATGTTTAAAGATTAAACGCGTTTCATAATTTTTCACAGGATTTTTAATTGTATAAATCTACCCATTAAATTACTTTACCGCAAAGTAGTAGATTATTAAATAACGTTTCGAAGGTCTGAATAAAAATAATGTTACGGATTATTAATTCGAGAGGAACGTATTTTTTTATATTGAATAATTGTATTTTAATTTCTTTTTATACCGCAGTTCACCAGAGTCCATAACTGCGAAAAGACCAGTTTTCGTTCTTTGCGCTTCTCCAGTGCGCATCTTCGCTCTGATTGGCGATACTCCCAAACGAAGTGGAAAGCGATTAGCAGAGAGCTCGCTGCGTTCCCCCACCATCTTCCAACCTGCGCGTCGCAGTTATGGACTCTGGTGAACTGCGATATAATTTGAATTGAATTATATTGCATATTTTCGTATAGGAGGCGCTGAATGCACTATGCATTTGAATCATTGTGTTTCTCATCTAAAATATAGCCATGGCAATGGCAAGTCTAGTCGGAAGCCGTCAGCTGTTGTGTCAAGTGAACATCCTTAACCAACAAAATAAGTGAAACTTATCAATAATATAATTAGTGACCGTAATAGTGAATATATTATTAGTAACTAAAGTTGTGATAAGTTTGAAAGTACTAATTAATAGGAACGAGGTACGTTTACGCATCGTTTGGATAGTCTTTGCTTGATGTTTGCTCACGGACTTCTAACACACCTACATTAATGCTAGTCATCTATATGTAAGGTTTCTCAGCATTCAATTCAAATGTTCATTTTGTATTTTTAATATAACTGCATATAGAATTGATATTTGTAGGGATTATGAATAAATGAATAATTGATTTTAATAAAACGTATATATTGCACACATATTTTGTACGATGCATCTATACGCATGCATATATATATATATATATGTTTAAATCCATTACAAATGGCGATTATTTTCTATACCTTACTAAATTTACGATTTTAATCACTATGATTGAACATGTAAGTACTTGGAAAAATGTGTTTAGTTCACGTATTCTTCTTTTTTTTAATCTACGTCACGCTGGATGGACTAAAATCTTGCTGTTTGCACCATCAATGAATTATCAAATATGAAGTATATTAATATAAAGGCATGCATTAAATAAGTTTTTATACATTTTATGATAATCTCATAAATTGAATTTTATATTTATTATTTATAATCAGTGTTTAATATTGATGGATTTTTTATGCTATTATAAATAACACGTTATCCATTAAGAAGCTATTACGAATCGGGCATATCATGCATTTAGACTTGGTTATGTAGAAAATAAATGTAACTCTGTACTTGTGTGTTATTTTATTCATTATTACTGAGAGACATAAATTTTCTTATGTTACGTACATATGTTTATATGTTTTTTATGTTACACATTAAAGATTTCGAAACACTGATTACTTATGCGTCTCATGAACGCGGAGAAATCGTACATAATTGATGACAACTCTCTTGATGGACTGCATAATTCCTTTTTAGTGAAAGTAGAAAATGTGCGTATATAGAAAAATTGAATATGATATGAATTTGAGCGAAAAAGTGTTCGTATTTTTATAGAATTGATAAATCGGTAAGCCCAAGTAACCTTTTAAAAAGTGGTTATGCATATGCCAAGAAATTTCATATAGCGAGATCCAAGAAAATCTATATTATTGGAAATTTATTTAAATTATTTATATGTTGTTGAAACTTAGTTAAAAAAATCGCAGCTGTATTAACCTGTACTTTGTATTTAACACGATCGATATAATTAAATACATGTAACGCTATACACGTGTCTCAATGACGTAAAATATAATCGCTTGTAAATCATAGATACGTTTATATTGTAATGCAGATTTTTTATTTAATATCAAACACTGCAGTCAATTTATTTGTCATATAATCTCTGACCGATATATAGCAACGGGTCAGAAAATATCAATATGTATGCCCTAAAGCATCGTGAATAAAATTTCCTTAAGATGTTTATTTATTTAACTTTTTTCACATTATTTAATACAGATCAATTCATCTTAATTCTGCGAGGAAAAGAATGAAACTGTAGTGATCCGTAATACCTCTGAAGATGTTCAAAGAAAACGATAGCAATTCAGGAGGCTGCAGCGGTGCAGCTCCTCGACCACGAAGAATATTACCAAGATTTTCTTTACGCCGATTATTATATTCGAGCCCGCTTATCGGTCGCCGAATCGTAAGGACCCCTAGTTCCAGCAATAGGAATGCAAAAAGTAATCGAAGTAATGAATATAAATAATTAAAAAATCATTCGTTTTCTCAACATTTATTGTTTGTTTTTAGCAAAAGAACCAGCTGGCGGCCGGAATACGGATGTTGAAAAAGGTGAAGCCAGAGTAAGTAATGGTTCGAGCCATTTTCAATTTCAGAACATAGATCTACAACGTGCTTCCAGCAAAGGCTCTGTACTTTCTTCTGCCGGAAAGGTATTTATAAAATATATCAGGGTGGTAAAACTTTTGGGGAATATTTGATTCATATTAAATACCATGTCCATGAATTGATAATTGAATGTAACACAAGTATAATGAATTGCATGTTATTTCAGAGCAATGAGAATGGTTTAATGGAGTGCCCTTTATGTCTGGCCGAATTACCAGTGGAATTCTTTCCTGTGGTTCAATCTTGCCATCACCGCAGTTGTTATGATTGCTTTCAACAATATCTTAAAGTTGAAATTTCTGAATCTAGAGTTAATATAGCTTGTCCTGAATGCTCAGAGCCGTTGCATCCAAATGGTGTGTGTTTTGAATAAAAAGCTATTGTTAATTCCGATGTCATATTAATTATTGAAATTTCTTTTTACGCAGACATTCGAATGATTTTAAACGACCAAACGCAATTGGAAAAGTATGAAGATTTTATGGTACGAAGGGTTCTCGCTGTAGAACCTGATGCCAGATGGTGTCCTGCACCGGATTGTAGTTTTGCAGTTATCGCTAGCGGTTGCGCTTCGTGTCCAAAATTACGTTGCGAGCGGCCAGGATGTGATTTTTATTTTTGTTATCATTGTAAAGCACGATGGCATCCGAATCAAACGTGTGATGCTGCTAGAGCACAACGTACTCAGTACTATGAACGTAGTTCTTCTCTCAGTTTTAGTCAAAGTGATTCACAACACAGTATGTATCTCTCGTTCGTATCGAATAGTTCTGGAGAAAAAAAAATTACATATGGATTTCACACGTGTACTTTTAGGAGATGACATCAAACCATGTCCAAGCTGTCAGGTTCTTATAGTTAAAATGGACGATGGTAGTTGCAATCATATGAATTGTTCTGTTTGTGGTGCTGAATTTTGCTGGTTGTGCATGAAAGAAATCACTGATCTTCACTATTTAAGGTATCATTATCTTTTATTCGATGTTTTGTATCAGATTATATTGTTTGCATAACTTTTTGTTTTATGATTTATTTTATATACAGCCCTTCTGGTTGCACGTTTTGGGGTAAAAAGCCGTGGTCTAGGAAAAAGAAGATACTTTGGCAGCTTGGAACTCTAGTTGGAGCTCCTGTTGGAATTGGTCTTGCTGCTGGTATAGCTGTACCTGCTATGATTATAGGTTTGTAAAGGATAAATAGCATCAATATATAAGGTCTTGCAGTTATTTTCGTTATATTTTTTAATCTTTGTATTTTTTACAGGCATACCAGTGTGGGTAGGAAAAGAATTATATACAAGGTATGAAAAAGCCAACAAGCACAAGAGGAATGCCTTCGTTGTAGGGGGAGTAACTGCATCCGTAAGTAAACATATAATACTTAATATTTCTAGAATTTTAATTCAGTCTTGCTTTCGTAATTTTTATTGCTATATTGTAGCTTTTTATCAAATGTAACACAATTAGATAAACCATATTATTAATCATAATAATACACCGTCCGGGCTAAAAAAATTAAAATATTTTTTCGGGATATTAGGAATTATCGTTAGGTTTGAACGCACAAGCATTTCTGCAAGTTCATGACAACATCAAAGTATATTTTATTTATATAGTTTGTACAAAGAAAGAGAATAATATAATTATTGCATACGTAAATCAGCGATAACGGAATGTCGATCTTATAGCCGTTACAATAATTGCGGGAAGAAATGTAGTCGGAGAAAGAAATTTTAACCAACTAAGTGTTACATTTAATTGGTTCAGAAGAACAATATCATTTAAGATCTAATTTATTTGGCTGAACGTGCTATTAATAGTTCTTTTGCATTTTGAGTCATGTTTAATTTTAAAATTCCGTACAATGTTTATTAATATTCCGTTTTCCTTAAACTTTAAAATATACGTGTACGCGTGTTTCCGTGGGTGTGTGTCTGTATAAGTGTACGTGGCAAACACGGTTTAACGTTGAAATGTTCTCAAACAAAACGATCTAATCCATCAACTCTATTTCTTTCATGTTAAGGATAATTTCAATGTGACTTGGATTTCTTTAACTACCCGCAATTACATTATCATCGACACAAGCCTTTTCCTCGAGATGAGATCATACGTTGATCGCAAGCTTATGGCTGACAGAGCGATCAATCAGTCCCACAACTTAGTCTCTTCGATTTGCATCTCGCGTAGAAATATTAATTCGCTGTAGCACTATCATGGGCGGTAATAACGTTGACTAAGGGTTATTTTCGCTGGTGGCAATCACAGTCTCGTCTGTAAGTACACCTTCATTGTGAAGATCTTTCAGTACGTCGATTAAACGTTGCTCGGTCTCGGGATCGCCCAAAGCAACGTCAACCGACCCGATGCAAAGTAAAAGCGCTAAGAGTTGCGAACGCCTGTAATCCTTGTTCAACTCTTCTCTCGTGTACCCCAAATCCTTGGGGATGTCGACACCGAGACGGGAACACGTGCTGGTTAACGCGTCCCAGTAGATGTCGAGGAAGGTATCCGTGTGTTTTCGACGTAATTCCGTTGGCAAAGAACTGACTAATAATAGCGCTATGTCATTGGTTGGTCTACTGTAGGTGACCATTTGCCAGTCTAGTATACAGCACTCGAGACCATTGTCTCCTTCCTTGAATAGTAAATTGTTACACCAGAAGTCTGTGTGCGTGATGAGTGCCAACGGTCCTTCCGGTGCTAGCAGCGCGGATATTATGTGTTTAGTTTTAGGTCGTAGGACGAGTAAAGCCTCGAGTATCGCTTCCAGACCCGGTGTACTTTTCAAGAACTTTGCTAGCTGCGGGAGACCACGTTCTACCAGTTGTTGGTACGAATCCGTTGCCTTCGCTGTTTGGAAGAGGAATGGGTAACGCTCCGAGAGATGCTGTTCCTCTATCACCTTCATCGCTAAAGAATGCGCGTGTATACGCGCTATGGCATCTAACGCGACCTTAGTCTGATCGTACGTCAGCCCTTCTCGAAATTTGATGTTACGGAAAGCGGAATCACGGAGATCGTGCAATACCAAAATTGAATCGGGCGTGGTGGGACTGTCATCCGTCTCCTCCGCTGGTGTATAATGCGCGTGATAACACACCGGAACCGATAGAACGATCTCCTCGTTCGTATCCCCTTTATCTGCTAATTGTTTCTTTTGAAACTCCTTCAAATCGGGCATCACCTATCGAAACAGATAAAATCATAATTACCCATTTATCGATCCGTAGTACGAAGCATCAAATTCTTTTGATCTCTTACCCGTGTGTAAAATTTAATCTCTCGCAGATCGAATTGTCCTTCGATAACGAAGAAACGACTGAACGCATCCTTCGGTAGTTCTTTCACGATTAAGGACAGATCTTGCGTCGAGTTCGAGTCGTTCAACGTGTACTTGACTTTAACACGAATAATTGCGCTAAGCGCACTTTCGTTACTCATACAGCCTGGGCTTACGTTACACTCGGTTATAGTGACCTGTGTACATGACGGGGTTAATTTTCAAGCTACATCCTCGAAATTGTGCCGTACTCGTATCGTGTTAGCAAAGCGTTTTACTTTAGCCTGGATTAAATAGAGATGCCGTGCAAAAATAATTCATAGTTTCTACCTAACTAACCGGTTCTTTGTGAAACTCCCTTAGGATACCTCCTAGCCACTCCTTGTCAATCTCCGGTTCCGAGATAATCTGCTTCTGCTCCTCTTCGCAGGAACAATCTTCCGTGTCTTCCCAGTCCCAGTCGGTGTCTTCCCAATCCCAATTCGCCATGGTTCCCGGCGATGATATTGTCGTCGTCGTCGTCGTTGTCGTCGTCGTCGTCGATCAAGGGAAAAGGGGGGAAATAAAACGAGATAGAGAGATAGAGAGGAAGAGAAAAATAATAATGTCGTGGCTCTGACGTGTGTCGTGCGTGTCTACTGCCCCCAATCAATGCCAATAAAGCCACATGTACGCTCCCGTGAACGATAACAGGCAGAAACCCGCCTATTCGTGCGTCCACGTACGAGCGCACATATACGTAGTCGAGGCTTGGCTATCGTCGAGTCACCCAGTAATGAATGGATTCGTCGCGTGTCCCTTCTACGCTTCCTGTCGTTACGCCGACCGGTCCTCGTACGTTCGGGCCGGCGTTGTACGGCGTCCTCTCATCGGACCTTCAGTCCTCCGCGACACGACACACCCTTGGCGCAGAGCACCAACCGACTTCGCGATCCGACCCCTCTTCGTGGTAGCTCGGTGTGGATGTTAAAGTACCGACTGACACGATGCACGTTCCATCGTCAGCCACCTAGGTGGATGCAGGCCGCAGGGTGGGACAAAGAGGATCTCCCATGCGCGCACTCCTACCGCCGATCAATATCCTTCCTTCCTCACCTCCCGCACCTTCTGCCTGCCCGTCGTGCACTTTCTCTGCCTCCTGTTCCGCTGCCCCACACTCCTTTCCACGCTCGATGGAAATCTAGAAAACAGATCGCCATGCGTCAGTAATCTCTCCATCGGATCATCGTCACACCATCGGCTACCACGTATTTTTACCTCCCCTTCGACTGCCTTTCAACCTTCCCCCGACCTTCGTTTTTTTATAATAAAAAACTTATTTGACCGTGTACCGATTATTTTCATGATTCCTCGTTCGATAAGCTCAGATGTACTCTTTTTTCCGAACGAAGATCGATCGGCTACTTATTTTGCCTTATTTCCTATTTTTTATCACGTTACATGAATTTCATGTCCGATTGATTTTTCTGTCAATGCATTTCTGATATGTTCATACAACCGTTCCTGATATTCATTTGTAAATGAAACTCGTCTAAACGCAAGGCGTGACTGCAATTAAAGTCGAAGTACATTCTCTGCTACCTTCGTAAATTGTACGGTTTTCATATTACCGCGTGTCGCAATGTCCGAAACGTTCCATTAATTACTCGGCTTTTTTCCTCTGGGAGGAGAGTACTCGACGATGGAATATACGCGATCGTAATTTGTGCGGTATGCACTCGGAAAGTTCCGCCACTGTACAGCTACGCAACAATGGATCAACGAAGGTTGAAAGTTTTGGGATTATAATGCCAGATTTTCGTCTCTCGTTACCACATCAATTATGTTTATTTAGCAATTATGAAAGTGAGAGAAAAGATAATTCCATAATTTGCCTTTTTATCGTTACAGATTCTGGTATCGCCGATATTAGCTGGATTAGCCGTGGGTATCGGTGTACCCATCCTATTGTTTTACGTGTACGGGGTGGTCCCCGTTTCCCTTTGTCGAAACGGAGGTTGCGGTGTTTCCACAAACGGCACCGAGGTGCGAGTTGATTTCGACGACGAGAACGAATTAATGGGCTCATTGGGGGCGCGCATCGGCGGAGGTAAGATAGATTCTTTCAAATGTTCATGAAAGAAGAACTGTGCCTCGCGTGCACAGGTCACGTAGGAATAATATTTAAATGTAATTAAAAGCGTAATCCGTATTGTAGACGCAGCATCGATAGACGTTGCGAGCCACCGTGGTGGTAATCCTTCGATAGGAGAGGCTTCGCTTTCGTTGGGTAGCGGAAGTCAGTTGGAAAAATTGGGTGGGGAGAATGATCGCGAGAGCGCTAGTAATGTAGCCCTTGCTGGTACCAGTATCGCGGGAAGTATTGTCCTTCCGGGAGGTCGGAGGTAAAGTATAATAAATCTACCGTCTATACTTAAATATAAAGTATAATAAATGAAAACAGGCTGGAAGTGCAAGCGGATGTGACGTCCACCCAACGATTCAGCTTGTGCAGCGAAACTGCATCTGCTGCGACCAGTTTATCAGAAAAGTCTGTAAACGCGTCTATTGCTTTGGACGATGGCGCAGCTTCGACGAGAGCTTTGGCAGGCTCTGTTCTTAATTTCAAGGTATTTTATTGAATATCATTTTGTAAGGTACAAATAATCATGTTGAGATCTTTCAGAGATTAAATTGATTAAACGTCGCGTGTTTAGATGGACGGTAGTTCGATCAGTGGCGGAAGAAGTACAGAAGGGGAACAGGGTACAAGCTCTGTTGCCGGTGGTGGTCACATGGACTCGGCGGGACAAGCTACGTCTTTGAGCTCGCTCGAAGAGGTGGCGCCTGGTTTAGCAAAACGAGCTCGACGCAAGCCGACGTTAGACCGTCAATGCAGCGATTCAAGTAATTGGACTGTCTGTGGTGAAGACGGAGGTTCTGAACGCGTAAGATTCGATGATCATGTTAGTTTCATCGAAGCTGATCAGGAGGGGGTTGTCAACACGTGTGGGACGAATAATCGGAGTACCGGAAGACGTAAGCGCAACAAGGAAACGGAACAAGAAATGGAAGTTCCAAAGGCTCCGAAGTATGAAAAGATTTAGTTGAATTAAGTGCCTTTCGCGTGATTAACTGTTGAATTGATCGAATCCCACGCCAAGGCGATAAGATAGTAGGTTGCATGATATATCATGATTATGGTATCTTAATCTAACACCGATTTACTGTTACAGAAATCCTAACGGTGAGTTGAAGGTTGACTCATCAACGGACGATAACGTGTCACGGGAACGGGTAAACGTTGCCACTTTGAGAAACGTTTTTTTCCATAGTTCTACGGTATCTACCGATCGCGAAAAGCGATTATCGGTAATAGAAGAACCGTTTCCCGCCGGGACACAGAGTAATAACGCTCGTTTCTTAACTCCTTCTAATGACGGATGCAGCACTATTAATGCAGATGAAGATCCAAGCTCTTAAAAAAATAAAGAAAGACTGAGTATTTATGTAATAATATACATGCGTCCTTTAAATACGAGACATGTAAATGCGTATTTACATATGTGTGTATATATGTATTTAAGTGTACACCGCGTGCGTGCAAAACGCTGAACTTACTGGTATTTATATGCACCATGTATAAACATACTATGAGGGTAATAGAGATACTTTGCAAAGCGAAGTACGTTAAAGTAAATAGTATGTATATTCATATTCCAGGCGCGTGTGTATAAATATGTAATGTTCATACGTGTATATATTTATATACATATACTTAAGGGCCTCAAATTTGCTATAAAACAAAAAGTCGCAATCAGTTGAATGCGAACAATTTTAATTTCGTGCCAATGGTTTCGTTGAGCAATGATGTACATTGTTATACGCAAGAGTTACGTTCTCGTATTATAAAACGCAATGTTTATAAATGTAAAGTATTGACTTTATTTAGAGTTTTTCAATTTAACGAATAGGCCAAGTTTCACGGAAAGCTGACATTTTCACGCCATAAAAAGATAGGGTAATTATGAAAAACATTTAAAAGAATTATACATAACTTCATAAACGCTTTATAAGGTTGCATTTTAGATCAAATAACTATTATCATTTTCTATGCATGATACACTTGTCAATTCGTCAATCATATTTCCAAATGTATGTACAAGCATCATAAGAATCTTTGTAAATGAACATGTTTTTTAAGTGTTGTCCCTCAATGTACGGAGATACATATACGTAGTACGATACACGTCGCTAAAGGCAACGAACATGCCTTGATACTGAATGTTAAAATGTTTTAGAAGAATTTAACGTTATTATAAAAGAAGGTACGATAGTTCACTACCTTTTAATAATATATTTATTTATTCTTATTCCCAGTGATTTATATAAAATAATTTCAGGTGCTTCGTTATGCATGTTGAAAGCTTTCATTTATTTTTCTTGCCCGTATATTCACTTTTACTACGTAATCTTACGCATGATTCACTAACGGTCACAATGAAACTTGCTATAATTAAAAGGTGTTAACAATTTTATGTTTCACGACGTTTCTGGTTAAGTTCATAAAAACTTACATCCATGTACATATTTTGTAAAATTATGATCTTAACATATATATGTTTAATTCTTTGTAAGTAATAACTTCGCTATATACTTCGAGAAGCTGATGTCATACGTCCGAATGAGAAAAACTTTATTGAAAAGCTTATATGTGTAAAAACAAAAAAAGAAAGAAAGGAACTTTATATTATAAACAATAATAAATGTTCTAGCTAAGTAAGGCATATTCTGAAAATGTGCCTAGGATAATTAGTACGTGGTACAAGGTTTAAAAAATGCAAATTTAACATAGTCAGATTTTTAAGGATAGGCAATTTTTACCAATATTTTTATGTATTTTGACTAATCATTTAAATATATAAATTTTAAAAAGGTACATTTCGTTGATACAAAGAACAGTGCAATTTCAATATGTTAATGACGTAGATAACGTATATGACTTCACAATAAATGATAACATACTTTTGCAGTATTTAATGTTATCCCAAATTTGTTTTGTAGTATCTGTACATTTTGTATGAACTTCACAGTTTATTGTACAACAAAAGTGTATCATTTAAAAATATTCTTTATTTTATAATGGATGTAAATTCGTAAATATAACAGAATGTAATATAAGTTGTATATTTCTTTAAATTCTAAGAATACTTTTATGTGGTAAGTATTTGATAATGGATGCATCATGGAATTAAACTTAGAAAGTTATAACGTAAATAGCTTTATAAATCGTGCATGTATTTAAATATATTACACATTTTTTCAACATAGTATTAAGTTATATTGATCTGCTTAAAAATAAGGGAGATTTTTTAAATAATTCATCAACTTTTAATTTAAACAATTCACTTTGAATTGGTTCATTTAATTGGCAGAGCGGATTTTTTACTACATACTCCAAGTAAACCTGTAAAAGAAAATTATTACTTAAATAGCTTTATGCACAATCATTTTATAAAATCGTATAAAGTAAGAATAATTATTAAATAATTTTATAAGAATTGTATTCAATTTATATCTTTACAATTTTTCGAAGTTTATTGAAGATCTTTTTATTCAAATATTGATTAATAAAATAAATGAAATGTTTAAAATTCATTTACTTACTTCTTTATATAATTGTTGCAACAATTCTCTAGCATTATGTGTAGCATTATCAGTGTTTAACACAAATTTTAATCCTGAAGGAGTTTCAAAATAATGCAATGTGTATTTGCTAGTTTTATAATATAAAAATCCTTCTTTTGGATCCAACGGTGATATTTTACTTACGAATGATTTAATGGAAAACAACATTCCGTACATTAACTTCGCTTCCTAAAATGTATACAATTTTATTTGACAACAGTATGTATTTATTTATAGAAGGTATATAACAATGAATTAAGTTTAATGTAATATCAGTTTATTTTAATAAGATCATATACAAAATATTAAACGGCAACGGAGGTTAAAAATGATACATCATTTCAAAGGAATAACTGTCTACTGCGCTAACAATTACCTCCTCTTTTGTTATTCCAGATTTATTTAACCTATTCCACTCAGCATAATATAATAATGTTCCATTTTTGGAAAATATGTACAAATTGTGAATTGTCATACTCTGTTATTGTTTTCGTTCTGCTTCATTCACATCTGCCTCATTCTCTCGACTTCACACTTCACGTCTTCGGACGTCGAAAAGGTAGGATGTTATACTCTCTACTTCCCCCATAGCCCCATCTTTACAAAAACGGCGGAAACTATTCGACAATTTACCGCCTACCGTATGATAAGCCAGTAAGTAGGTAACTTCCTCAGTTTTTAATAAATAAATTAATAAATTGTTGAGTAGTCAAAATTGTGTCTTTTCAATTGTGAGTGCGAGATGTGGTTGAAGAGGGACTAGTAAAACAAGCATAACTGTCATACCACTGTGCTCTGTTACAGTCTTTTTGTATTTGTATACCGCAGTTCACCAGAGTCCATAACTGCGAAAAGACCAGTTTTCGTTCTTCGCGCATCTCCAGTACGCATCTTCGCCCTGATTGGCGATACTCTCAAACGAAGTGGAAAGCGATTAGCGAGAGCTCGCTGCGTTCCCCCACCATCTTCCAACCTGCGCGTCGCAGTTATGGACTGTTATGGACTCTGGTGACCTACGGTATAGACACTGGCTTATGTAAGATTATATTTTACGCTTTCTACTGACACGAGTCAGAAGTTAAAATACTTTTTATAGTACGTATCCAACAAGTTATTGTTAGTTTGCACGTGATTTCGGCATGTATTACATATAAACTATATGTATTGCAGAAATTGGTTACATTAGATTTATTCTTAAAATTCCAAGATGACATCTCTTAAAGTTATCCAGCCAGGTATATTTAATAACAATTACTTTCATTTTATAACAAGTTTCTTGTCTTTTAAATTATTGAAGTGAGTGATTTTATTTCTTATACGCAATTCCTGTCACATCAAAAAGTATATTATAACCTACAAAGTTAATTTATCGATTTTAATTAGTAACGACAGATTAAATGAATATCCTATGTAATGTATTATTTCATTCTGTTTCATTGCAATATAATTTTTGCAGGTGCAAAACTGTTTCAAGATCTTCCAAAGATTTTAAACGTACCTTTGACTCGAAGTAAATATTATAATATTTATGGAGATCAAAAGGAAGCTACATGGGATGATATTCGTGATAACACAGTTCAAAAAGTATTTTTCTTAGAAATTATTCGTGGGCTAGGAGTTGCATTATCTCAATTGTTTAGAGAACCTGCAACAATAAATTACCCTTTTGAAAAGGGCCCTTTAAGTCCACGATTTAGAGGAGAACATGCATTAAGAAGGTATTAGTATATGAACAAGTATTCCATACAGTGAAATGTAATGAAATTATGCAGAGATATATTTTTATATAATGTATTTGAAATAACAAAGTTTAATGACATTTTTAAGGTTTATAGAATGTATTGTCTGAATTATAACATTATAAAATGTATATAATGTAAATGAATTAAGTAAGCATAGGATTAATTTATGATAGATATCCTTCAGGAGAAGAAAGGTGTATTGCATGTAAATTATGTGAAGCAATTTGTCCAGCACAAGCAATCACTATTGAAGCAGAAGAGAGAGCTGATGGATCGCGTCGTACAACAAGATATGACATAGATATGTCAAAATGTATATATTGTGGTTTCTGTCAAGAAGCTTGCCCAGTGGATGCAATCGTGGAGGTAATAAACTATATAGTAATATTGCCATCTATAAGTGCAAATCATTTTTATAGCTTCATTGATATATGTGCTACTTAATATTTACTAATGTACATACCAAAATACTATATATATATATATATGTCAATTTAGGGTCCGAACTTTGAGTTCTCGACAGAAACACACGAAGAAATGTTATATAATAAAGAAAAACTTTTGAACAATGGAGATAAATGGGAATCGGAAATTGCTAGCAATATTCATGCTGATCATTTGTACCGTTAAATAAATTACGAAATGTAGTTATAAATTAAATGTAGAATAAATGATTGAAACTATTTAAAATTTACGATTTATCGTGTTAATAAGTAAAATATATCAATGGTATTACTGTATTCTCTTTTTTAATATTATTTCAGAAAGTAATAAACGTGGTCTAATTATCAAATATATAAAAAGGGTAAGAAAGTTATTTAAAATTAAAATAACTATTCAATTTGAATTAATTTTTTATTATTCTTCAGTATCTTCTTTGAATCAAGAAAAAATTTTACATAAATTATTAATATATTGAAAATATGGAAATATCAGTAATACATTATAAAATATCGTAATTTTTCATGTTTCCATATAATTCTTACTTCTTGTATTAATAATAAAACTACATATTTCGTACATTATTACATGATTTAATATTTATACGCTCATCATTTGCAGAAATATCATTTTTGCATCTAAAATAATTGAATAGCTTGTCTACAAAGTTGTAATTATACACAATTCTAAATTTGTTTCTCTTTATCATATTAATATTAAAGGAAATACGTAGTAACTTAAAATAAATATTTATATTTTTACATTTCATTCAGATCTTGAAAAACCATTTTTATGATCAACATTAAAAATTAATAAATAAAATGATGTGCAACATGGAGATTATGTTGGGCTGCAATTTAAAAAAACGATAAATATTGATTAAGTGAATATCAGGAATGTTTTCTTGGATCAATATTAGAGTAATAAAAAGACTTGAATGTAAATGTACGAATATATTTTTAATTCATATTTAATTTCCTATTTTCAAAAATGTGTAAATTACAACTAACAATGTCCATTCAATAAATGCTTTACAACGAAGGATAGAAATATTTGTGAACAATGAAGGTGTACAGTTAAAAACGATGATTGCATATAAACAACTTTGATATTCATCTATCATAAAACTTCATAATTTATATGAAATCATGAAAAATGACTTTACTTTTCATTCAGATATTACCAGGGGCGAATCCACGTGTTATGAAATATTAAAAAATTACTTTATGTTAATATCTTAAGGTTATCAAATTTTAATACTTGTTGTATCTGTCTTTTAATAATAGAATAAATTATTTAATCACACATACTATAATTGTTAAATAATAAACAAATTTTAAATCGTACAAAAAACGATTCAAAAGTAAGGATCCGGCCCAGGATGCTACATAATATGTTCTTATATATGCAAACGAACATTTTAATTTTGTTCCCTAAAAAAGTCTCAAAGTTAACAATACCGTACAATTGATTATATACATCCCTGATTTTATATTGAAGAAACTAGTTACAAAGCAATCAACTTTTTATACTCTTGAGTATAAAAAGTAGGAAAACGATACGAAGAAACAAAAACAAACTTTAATCAATACTTAAAAATAATGTATATTCTTCATATACCAAGTTATAGAAACTTTTTTTTTTTTTCATTTCATTCACATAAAGTGCTGACAAGTATGTATTTCATAACTATCACGGATACCTAAAATAATTATCCGTATGATTTTTTTTATAAAAAGCACGCAAATTTGTGTCTTTTAAACTGTACTCTAAGCAAAATTATCGATGCTATTAACAATACAAATTCTATAAACAATTCTGAAGTTATAAATTGTAATATCTTTAATAATATTACGAAAAAGTAAAATGCTCGTATTATGTTACACAATGCATATAAATCTTCCCTAATATATGTATGTACATATTTATATACATACATATCTATAAATATGAAGATAATTCCAATGTTTCTGAAGCATTCTAGAAAATTAGAATTTAAAATAAAAATTAAATTTTTTTCTTACTTCAGTATTTACGATTTATTCATATTGCAAAAGTAGTATTGTGCACCTCAAAAATCGACCACATTATTATTCAAGATACCTTAATTATATTGCGCTGTAATAGCAATTTTCATCTGTACGTTGTTTTATAATGAATTTTACATTTACATTACATTTGCTGTATATACTGATATTTAATCCGTACGTTTGGTTCGTTTACGGTGATAATTTCTTGCTAATGCATGGATAATTGTTACCAAAAAGTAACATACCATTAACATTACAAATTTATCAAACAACCATGAAATTGTTGTTGTTCCATCCTGAAAATAAAATAGATATTAACATACATATTACATACAACATGATGAATATCAATTAAGAAAACCATACCATTGATGTTTTATCATGTAACTTCTTTTTCTGTTCAATAAGATATTTTTTCAATGGTTCCTGAAACTTTGAACCAACGTATGGTACAATTGCTAATAATTTGATAAATTTATCTAGAAGTTCTTCATTGAAAGCTATAATCACTGCAAGTTGCTGAATATGCATTTTTATAATAGCTTTTCCTATGAGTGTAGCACCGAAGAATGTCCAAAAAGGAATTAAATAATGACCACATGTTAAACCAGCAAGATCAAACAATGGATTAGGAATCTAGAAATAGTTTCTTGTGTTAAAATTATATTTCTTCGTTCGATATATATGTCTTTATTAATTAGCATTTTAAGGAATAATTTTCACTTACTGAAGCACAAGCAAGAATTCCCCAAAAACCTGCTTTCTGTACAAAATGCTTCATAGTCAGTTTTATACGTATTAGTAGCGATACATTTTCGCCATTTTCTAAAGCCTCTAAAGCTTCTAATTCTTTTAAATCTTCCTGATCAAACTTTTCATCTCTATTATTGTGCCTGCTAGTTCGAGCAGCTCTCGCCATAAAATATGGTGGTAATTCACCAAGTGCAGTACCAGCACCCCAAAGCATAGCTTCTATACGTACTTTTCTCATAATATTTAATATTCCTGCAGTCCACATTGGATCAATTGTTGTTGGACATATTATTTGATCAGGATATGGTGGTTCAGGAAAGTTAAGAGCACCACATTCATATGCAGCCATAGTAACAGCTGCTATATGTGGTCCTAGATAAAGTACAAAAGTGTGTAAGCCTGTACCAAGACCTACACTAGAAAGAACACCTAAACCTATCCAATACAGCCACCAAATTATTTTTGTCTCCCATGCTCTTAAAACCTGAAAATAAGAAAGTATTATTTCATATAAAAACTGGCTTTTACATCAAACAAGCAAAACGATATACTCTAATATATTCCAAATGCATATCAAAATGTACCTGTTGATGTGGACCAGAAATTCTGTTTAATATCAGAATCAATACAGTTATTGATACTATACTCCATACTATTCTTCTGTGATGTAATGCTTTTCTTCCTAAGCTGAATACATTACTAAAAAGTTCTCGGAAAAAGTAGTTTAGTGTAGTAATTGGATGCTGCCATAATGTTAAACTTTCTGAATCTATATGAGATTCATTATTTAAATTATTTGGCTCTTCTGAAAATGGTGCAGATAACTTTTTCTGTTCAATATTTTGTTGAGCACCATTAACAGGAGCTGAATCCTTTACACGTCGAATGGCAGTGGTATTTTCCAACATGATATTTCCTAGTTCACTATTCTGCACATAAATTAAAGCAATTTTAGTATACCAAATTAGTTATATTGTAAAGTAAGTAATATAAGAATTGCATAGCTTTAATAAATCAATTTTTTATTCTTTTTTATTAGCATCAATTGTTGAAAAACATATACTTCTAACTATTGTTTCTTATCAATGAAATTGAAAAACAATAATAAAGCAATGTTAAAAATGAAAAATGGTAACTAAATATAAATAACATAAAATTACAATCAATGTTATTAAGAATATATTGTATAAATATTTAGCATTTTGTGATACTGACTACAAGTTTCACGTGCAATGTACAATTCTATAAAAAAATTTGCTCAAAACTAAAAAGATTGCAAGTATAAAAGTATACATATATGTTCTTATACAATTAAAAATGAAGACTAGTACATATTTCATCTGTATTAATAATATTTAAAAATCTAATTTATTAGTAGTAATATTACATAATATCAAAAACATATTGTAATATTTTCATGCTGTACTTTCATTCCTAGTTTATAAAAAAAATAAGTGCAAAGTTATTTATTTATTTATTTATTAATGTGACTACAATTTGCAGTATAAAATAGTTTTTTAAAAAGATGATTATTAGCTTTGTGTTTATGATATATATGTGTATTAATAAACAAAATTATTATATTATGCTTTTGTTAATTTACTAAAAACAAAATTAATATTATTAACATTAAATTAATAAATTATGCAGCAATAACTCTACATGCAATTAAGTATGATTTAAATTTATGTAATAAAAAGTAACACAAAATATCTGCAGAATAGGTACATCATATACCATGTTTGTCCTTTTTCCTGAAATGGGCAGATGTTCTTTTAATAAGCCTTTAAATTGTTTATGTTTAAGTTGTGAAACTGGTACCACTGTAGTAGCACTCATTGTGCTTCTGCTATCCGTGTAAATAAAATTGCCATCAAAATTCTTTACATTATTGGTAATACCCATATTAGAAGCATTGCTTGTTTTTCGATCTACTTTTCTTCGCACCATTGTCAAGCTGCATTAGCCAATCTGCACCAGCAACTAATTACTATTACTAATACTGTTATGACTACAGAAAAATAAAAACATTCTAATAATTTCTTATTTTATATATTTACTATGAAAAATTTGTTAATATTAATGTTAATAAAACTCTTTGTTTCTGTTTTCTTCTTATAATATCATAGTATTTATTAAAATGTATACTACTTTATGTATTTCAAATAAAACATACCAATATTGTACTAAGAAGAAATTAAGTAAAGAAATCGGTATAAAAATTACTATTGATGTAACATTATTGATATATGTATATGTGTATGTATTTATGTTCAATATGTGTAATTATTTTACCATTTTTTCAATAATATGAATTTTTATATAACTTTACTTTTCATGTGAAGACATAGGTAATGGTAAAATATAACATAAATATGTCATTTACCATTCTTCAACCTTATGTTATCTAATTGCACGTGAAACTAAGTCACATGAATGTATTTAAATATACAAAAAAATTATTTTATATTTAGTTTATTGAAAGAAATGTATATAAAACACATTAAATGGAATGTATCTTCATTATACAATATTAAAGGTATGTTATTGGAATTTAAATATAGTTACAATATGATACAACTTGATATAAAATATAATTGAATTACCTTTTAACCTTAAAATATGAGCGTGACTAAACGTTGAATCAATAAAAAATTATGTTTTTTCAAATCATTATAAAACATGCGTTTGAACAAAAAATAAATTACTTTACAATATTTCAAACGATCGATCGCTAGCATGTGCACTAAAGATAGTTAACGTTTTTTATTTAATTAATTAAACTGTCAACTCGACAGTATCACATGTATTACATTCATGTGTCTGACCCACAGCACTTCCTATATATACTATCTAACAAGTATGAGTACGCGCAAGTCAACGTGTATAAAAATGCCTAATCATTAGTCTCTTTAGATAGTAAAAATATATATCGCTTCCTTCAGTTAAAATCAGTTAGAATAAATTTCCCTATACATGATTATAACCTTATCGTATCGAATATGATATGCTTTATATGCTTTATATACTATATATAGTTTGTATGTATGTAACAGTCACTGATGTATGTATTGAACTGCTTTTGGTATCAGCAACATTGACCAATCAGTGTTGTTTTATAATAATTATTAATTATTAATAATTTACCCATACACTTTAAATATTAGTTATCTTAAAGTAATTATCATGTTTTCTTTTCACTTTAAATCATTGCTTTATTTTAATAAACTTTATAGTATGTACATGCTCTGGCAAAAATGATTGTTTTTCTACTGATAGATGCTAATAAAAAGTTTTAAACAGATAGTATATAAAACAACAAAGACATTTAATTTTGAATTATGTAATTTTAGATAAATCATAAAAACTTTTAACAAATATTTATTGTTTTAACTCAAAATATTTAAGAAAATGTTTGTGTTTTGTATGTACATATGATATATATAAGTAAATATATGTGTCATATGAAGTTAGTCACGAATGAGTGAAATATATATCTATACCGCAGTTCACCAGAGTCCATAACTACGAAAAGTCCAGTTTTCGTTCTTCGCGCATCTCCAGTACGCATCTTCGCCCTGATTGGCGATACTCCCAAACGAAGTGGAAAGCGATTAGCAGAGAGCTCGCTGCGTTCCCCCACCATCTTCCAACCTGCGCGTCGCAGTTATGGACTCTGGTGAACTCAGGTGAACTGCGACAGTCCCGGCAGTGACTACAGAGCCATACGGAGACAAGTAGTCACTGGTCCCGGCCAGTTGATAACTTGTTAGTTGATAAAAAACAATTTGTTATTAATACCTTACACTATCGATAAATTTATATATAATTATTAATAATTATGGCGCATATTATTAAAAAAGAGATTTAAGAGTTTTACATTGGCATAAGTTAGAGCCAAATTTGTAAAATATTAACTAATTGTATGTAAAAGGAACATAGCAAAGCCCAATATTTTCAAAAATATAAAATAAAACCATGGCAAATATGTTAACTCCGTTTGTACATTGGGCTCAAACAGAAAATCAAGTAACATTAAAGGTAGATTTAACTGATGTTAAGGTATGTAATTTGTAATACATGTATATTTTATTACTCATAGATCTACAGTAGTTATATTTTGTAGGATGTTAATGTCGATTTGGATGAAAAAACATTAAGAGTTATTGCTTATGGGCAAGGTGCTCGAGGACTTAATAAGTATGGATTTAATCTCGACTTACATTCATCCATTGACTCAGAGGTAATGTTATTGTTATTAATATAAATGTAATTTCTGTAATTGTAATTACAAAATTTCTGTTGTTTTAATATAAAATTTGTAAGACTTAACTGATTAAGTACAAATATAATAACAATTATAAATAGAGTAGTGAATTTACTCATTATTAAAATCAGGACTGTGTTATGTATTTAAATGGCAAATTTTTGTATAAAATATTGCAGGAAAGTAATTTTAAAGTAATAAATCGGCAGATTGATTTTACATTAAAAAAGAGATCCCCTGCATGGTGGCCTAGATTAACTAGTCAACCACAAAAGCCATCGTGGTTGAAAATTGATTTTGATAAATGGACAAGTGAAGATTTAGAGGATAATGAAGATGAAAAACGAGATATCTGTAATGATTACCCTGGGATGTATGATAAACTCCATAAAGAAGAATTTGGTTATAGAAAAGGTATACTATATCATAAAATACATATTATGATCAATGTTTTAATCACGCTTTAAATCGCGATATTAATTTGTTATTATTTATTATTTAGAAAATTTCAAGTTGGCGTATTTAATCATTTACAATCTGTGTCAGTTTGTTGGTTTTTCGTATATCCATACTGTAATGGGAATAATATATTCAAGAGATGGACCAGGTTGGCAAATATATCAGTTAAATGAAAGTTTAAATAATAATCAATGTAATATAATTATAAAATTTTTTTATTTTAGCTTGTGTGAAAGAAACATATGCAGCTGTTGGGAATGCAATGAAATTTATACAACTTCTACAATTTCTAGAAGTTATGCATTCGTTATTTGGGTATACTAAAAGTAGTACACTTATGTCATTTGTACAAGTTGGAGGCAGAGCATTTATTTTATTTTGTATGATCGAAGCTGAACCACGAATGCAAACAAAACCAGTTGTTTCTTATCTTTTACTTGTTTGGAGTACAGTGGAAATATTTAGATATCCATATTACATTACTCAATTATTAAAAATAGAACTTCCACTTTTAACATGGTTGAGATATACAATTTGGATGCCATTATATCCATTGGGTTTTCTTTGTGAAGGTATCATAATACTGAGAAATATTCCATATTTTGAAGAAACACAGAAATTTACTATATCTTTACCAAATGCTTGGAACTTTGCATTTCATTTTCCATCATTTTTAAAGATATATTTACTAATATTTTGTTTACCTCTTATATACACGTTAATGTCTCGTATGAATCAAGCACGTTATAAAAAGTTAGGCAAACCCAAGTTAAGAAAAAAATACGCATAATTTTATAATGTAGGATTGAAGCTTTAACTTCTTAACAAATTTTATTGACGGTTCAGTTATTTATTACATAATTGATAATGAAATTTATGAAAGGAATAAATAATAAAGTATGACTGTATATATATATTAAATATATGTATATGTATATTAATTTATGATTTTGTATGTATGTACATACAGTAGACAAAATATTAGTAAGTTTTAGTGGTATATAATTTTTTTTTTCATACGTTTTTAGGTATTACGTTTGAAATGTAATACATGATTATTAATATATCTGGATAAGCAAATTTTTCATAGTGAATATCTTAAAAAATGTATAAATAGGTACTCTATGATGAGATCAAGCTCTTTGCACAGAATGACAGTCATTAATTTCTGTACATCATTCGGTTTATGATAAACAGTATTAAGAATAGTAAGCTGTGATGATTTATTAATTCCCATAAAAGTATACAAATCTTCATGGGCGGGAGTCCTGGGGATTGGAAACTAACAGAGAAAAGCGGGAACTGAGAACTTGGAAACCGGGGAATTCCACGGAAGGGCCAGGGCTGAAACCCAGAACATCACTATTTTCTCTAGGGAAGGCTGTGCTACCATGCTCAATTCAAATAGCACGATACATGAGTACTTTCATGCAATCATTTATACCGCAGTTCACCAGAGTTCATAACTGCGAAAAGTCCAGTTTTCGTTCTTCGCGCATCTCCAGTACGCATCTTCGCCCTGATTGGCGATACTCCCAAACGAAGTGGAAAGCGATTAGCAGAGAGCTCGCTGCGTTCCCCCACCACCTTCCAACCTGCGCGTCGCAGTTATGGACTTTGGTGAACTGTGGTATATCTATATTTATTTTGTTTCTGAGATATTTTGTGTTGAATTTTTTATCAGAAAATTAATTTTTTGTAATATTTTGTGCAGTTTAATGCATAGTGTTTTAAATTAGTTATTTGAGGTTGGCTATAAATAAAAAATAATTTTTAGTATTTCTTAAAACAAATGAATAAAAGAATGTATATTGTATTTTCATCATTAATTGAACAATTGACTATTTAATAACGCCAAAGTATGCTTTTCCAGTTTAATTCAATTATTGTATTATATATTAAAAGTATCTATAAAAGTCCAATATCCGGTTGAACGGTGATAAAAAAAATCTGTTTGTTTACTACACAGTAAGAAGTAGCACGTGGAATTAATATCTAATTTATGAATAAGTCATCATTTGTTTAAATTTATGATAAAATGGAGCAATCTGAATTAAATATATGGAAAGGTGATTGGGGTTTACCATCAATAGACCGAGAGTGTTTGCAGGTTTTGGTATGTACTTTGAATACAGGTTATGATGTAAACTTAATATTCTCATTTATAGAATATTTATTGTAAACTATTAATTATTATATATTTTTTTTCTATATTTATATGGATCTTTCTAATTTATAAAAGAAATTATATTACTTGTATATTCTATAATTCCTAGAATATATTATTACATGATGTTCGCTCATTTCTTCTAGGTTTATGCTAAATTTAATAATATAGCTTTAAAAGTAAATAAGTCTAGTAATGTATTCAAAACTCCCAATGGCAGATTACCTGTATTCAAAAGTAATAACATCACATTAGATAAGGTTAAAGATATAATAGACTATCTTAGAGAAAATCATTACAACAAAGAATTCACATTAAAGAGAAAAGAATGTGCAAGAATAGTAGCTTATGATACAATGTTGCAACAAAAATTATATCCAGCATTACAGTTCATTTGGTATGTACTGATTCTATTAGTAATGTGAAAATTTATAGGATGAAATATAAATAATGTATCTTGTAAATACTTATAACATTTATATCTTTAGGTGGGTGGATGAAAGAAATGTAAATGAATTAATAAGACCATGGTACTGTAAAGCAATACCTTTCCCATTTAATTTTTATTATCCATCAAAATTTGAACAAGAAGCACGTGCTATGTTTGAAACCTTGTATCCCAGAGAAGATGACATGGCTGTTATAGAAAATAAGGTAATGATGTACAACAATTTTATATTGATTATATAGATTATTAATATAATATCTATATAATCTGTATAATCTAAATACAATATCTGTATCTTTCATAAAATTGAATTGATATTTATCAGTATTGAGTGAGGTATATAATATTAACATACCATACAAAATTAAGTATAGCATATTATATTAAGAATTTAATAATCATTCAAATATTAAAATATATTACATATATAAGAGAAATTACAATAATATTAAACATACATAACAGGTATATTCTGAAGCCCAAAAATGTTTAGCAATATTGTCTGCAAGTCTTGGAGATTCAAACTATTTTTTTGGTTCAGAACCTACCATACTAGATGCCATTGTATATTCTTATTTGGCACCATTACTTAAAGTTCCTTTACCTAATCCAGCTTTACAAAATCATTTAAAGAACTGCAAAAATTTAGTAACGTTCATAACGCGTATATCGGAAAGATGTTTCAGCAGTGAATGTCAAGAATATAAAGCCAAAGAAAATGCTCAAAATATGAAAACTAGTTCAAATAATGATTACCCTCATAAAAGAAGAAATCAAATCCTTGCTGGACTTTTTACTGTTGTAGTGATGACAACTTATGTACTTTCAACTGGAATTTTAAAGGTAAATTTTTTTCATACAAAGAAATTGATAGTTTAGATAATAAAAATTCAATAATTGTTTAGAACCATGTGTTACATTATGATTAAAGATATGTTTAATATTTTCAAGCTTGGTAGTGTGATATGTACTTATTGGCTTTCAAAAGTTCACCCTAAGTTTACTTCAATAATGTTTATGTAACTAATTTCTTTTCAAATAGTGTGCATTATAAATATACATATATTCCATACATGTTTCCATTTGTTCAGTTTTATTAACTAATAATTGTAAATAATAAATAATGAATAGTTATTAAAAGATTTCATTTGTCCATTTTTAAAATGTTAATAGTACGTATTTCGTATTTGAAATTTATGCGAAGAATGTGTAGGCATCCAAGATCGAAAACATTGGAAATAAATGATATTGTTTGTTATGTATGTAAATGTTTTTAGAAATGGAAGCTGGCGAGAATTCGTTTTAAGAAATATAATTAGTTAATGAGTTCTGAGTTTTTCCTGCATTTATGGTCTTCTATTTAAAATAAGAAGAAATTACATGTACGTAAAAATAAGATAGCATTTCAATAAACAGTAATTAATAATGAAAGCTGAGATATTCTCTCCAGCAAATATTTATGTATAATAATATTTTAGTTATAATTAAATAATATTTATACGTGTATTAACATTGAAAAAGTTATTTGTGTTTTGAAGGTATCGGTAAAGAGGAATGAAATAACGGAAATACGTGCAGAGGGTATAGTTGAGGATGAATAAGAATTCGGGAGATATAAAACCAGTTCATTAAAAAGACAAGTTTTAAGTATAACATTAATATAACTTTTATTTTTTGTTTCTACAATTTTTCTTTGATTTTATCAGTAAATTGTAATTATTATCAAAGAATATTATTACGTAATAATTAATTATGATCATAAAATTGTATAAATAAATATGTTGATCAAAAATATGTACATTTAATGTTCTATTTGTTATTATTTTTGTATTTCGATAGGATACCTGTTGTTGCTTGCTGAATTTCCTCGAAGAAACTTTGGGAATTATGAATAGTGGTACCACCTAATATAATCTTTATCCCTGGATTTTGTTTATTTAAATTATAAACATTTAAACTTTCTTCGTAGGTAGTTCCCCCGATCATGAAAACAATGATATCCTGTGGCCTGTTATAGATAGCTATTATTAGTAAGTATTTTTATCTTAATATTATGTTTACACGAACACTACATTCTTTTCTCCAGATTTTCTGCAACAGTATAAAATTTACCTTTTCGATACCATTGTATTTCCAAGATACGGAAATGTTTGTAAGCTTAATCTTCCTTTGATTAAATCTTCAAGTGTTTCATTTAACAAAGGTGAGTGTTGGGTGTATATATTGTCTACCCCATTTAATCCTTTGAATAATTTTTTGGTAATTTTAGCTACTGATTCACGATCGAATAAATTACTTTGTCTTGCATTGATTCCACTATATTCTAATATGTTATACACAAGCTGAAGTTTTATTTCGAAGTAATTAATTACAAAATATTTATTAAATTTTCAATTAAAATTACATTAATTTTAACGTACCTTAATGTACTTTTCGGAAATCCCTTTATTTTTCAATAAATTTAATAGACCACTGATATCATTATTCGCATGTTTCTCGTAGTGGAGTGCGTAAAGCATTACCAATCGTACGCAATCGATTTCCCGGATTTGTTGATTATTAATAAGTTCTTTTATCTGTTGCAGCTGTCATAAAATCAATAGAAAATATTGATGGTTGTTATAAGCAACAAATAACAGAGCATGCAAAATTAATTATACCTGCATGGAATGATCACTCCGACAACTAAGCTCTTGTTCCAATTCCGATACTCGTAATAAATTATGTTTTTCCACAAGAGAAGAAAGTTCTCCAACTACGGTTACATGTTTTGATACAGTTCCCGAAAGCTTTTTAAACAATGGATAAGTTTCAACAAAAGTTTTCATATCGGCTATGCTTTCGACTTTTTGATGTTTTTTAGCCTTCTTTTGAAATTCATCCATCAGTTCTTTTATCGTTTGTCCGATTTCACCAAAATTAAGATATAAATTCTGTTAAAATCATTCGCTTTAGTTTAATAATATTATGCACGATTAGTAATGAAATGCAGTATATTCTTACATTTGTATAAAACTCGTCATGTTCTGCACTGAGAACAACTTCTTTTAATTCCTTTGAAATACCTTTAACGTGCGACAAATTAACACGATTATTGTTGATAGTTAACAATTCGTGTACCATTGCTTGATAAGTCCACTGATTCAATAGAGGAGTAACAGGATCATCTCTTCTGTCAAGTATCAGTAAAATCGGACTAGAATCTTGTCTGAATTCAAATGAACTTGATTCCTTACTCAATACTTCACGTATTTTTTCCGCTAATCTTTTTGCCATTTCAGAGCTGCACTGGTATCGTATGTAGGGACATCTTTTAATTGATAATAGGACAGAAATTATGCCTAAAACGGTTCTGTGCAAATGCACTGGGTTCCATAATAAACCTTCATGAAAAAATGAAAAAGAAAAAAAATTAAATAATTATAATTTTTATTTCAAATTTAATAGTACAATTTTAGAAATAACAGTTTTAATTATAGAAAATTTATTACCTTGTGAGCATCCAGTTATTCCAAGTGAAAATAAATGAGGACTGATAGCTAAATAATCTGCATAGTATTCATGGACTTCTCTCACAACTTCTTGCTCATCACTTTCAGCCAGAAGTTTAACATCAGCCTTTGCAATAATATTACTGAAATCTAAAAAAGAATACATTGCAATATGAGCAAAAAAAAAATCAAAAATAAGGATTCATTAGCAACACTCACAAATATAATAGGTGCCATATTTAGGACATCGTAGTTCATTGCAAAGATACTCAATATTTTCTTTTGTTGGTCTTATGAAAACTATACACTTTAAATGCTTTAAACCCTCATTACGTGTATTTGCATCAATTCTCTCAAACAGATAAACTTCCTTCATAAATATTTCTGATTGACTGTATAATAAACTTACTATACTTGTCTGCAATTATATCAATTACAAAATATAAATATCAAGAGATAGGGTAGGAACTCAACTCTTTTTGTTGTTTCATATAGTTTCATTGTAACAATGTATACAAACATTTAGTCACTTTAAATATTAACAAATATTATATATAATTAACTGTTTAAACAGAAACCAGTTTACCGTTTGTTTATCCATCAAAAGAACCTTCATACCAGGTCCACTTTCTTCTGTCATTCGTGTAATATAAAACTTCAAAGCAACTGTCAAATTCATTTTGGAAATGTAATCTTGCGAATTCCTTATATTTATTAATTATATATTATAAGCCTCATATTGTTTATACATTTAATTAATAATGCTTTATAAAATTTAAACGTCAAACCATGTACATAAACACGGTTCACAAATCATCATAAATGTAGTTGGTGAACTACATATACACTGTTACCAGAATTTTTAGAAATTAAATTTTGAGAATTTGGTAAGCATAGTAAATAGGAAACTACAGGGAAGAAATGAAGTGATTTGATTGGTTGATTACATATTTTTTCCATACTTATAATATTTTCAAATATTTATTCAATAGTGTAACAATACTTAAAATTTCACAGTTCAAAAGCTATGTAAACTTATACAAAAGAATGATTTTAAATAACTTTAAAGTTATTGAAAATATTAGGACAACAAATTTTCTATAATCTGAAAATAATAAAAAAAAGCATCTCATTATTGAACAAATGACATATGTATGTATACCGCAGTTCACCAGAGTCCATAACTGCGACGCGCATGTTGGAAGATGGTGGGGGAACGCAGCGAGCTCTCTGCTAATCGCTTTCCACTTCGTTTGGGAGTATCGCCAATCAGGGCGAAGATGCGTACTGGAGAAGCGCAAAGAACGAAAACTGGTCTTTTCGCAGTTAGTGGCAGTTATGGACTCTGGTAAACTGCGGTATACATACAAATAAATATATAATCAATGGTCGGTGAATCATAAATCACTCTTCAAACAATAAGTGAATCAGAATAATCCTTTGTTTTGAATGTTGATTATTATTGTTAAAATTAATTTAACAATTGTTGAAAAATTAATAAACACTATTATTTTAAGTCATCGAGACGTGAGTAAAAAGAGTGATACATATGTACGGGAATATTCATTTATTTTATTAGATTTATAAGAAAAAGTATGCCGATGTGTAAATAAATTTTAAACATGATTTCTTATAAAAATATGTAATTTAAAACAATTTTTTAAATGACGAAATATGTAAGTAATAGTTATTATAGATAAGATCCATTTAAAAGAGGAAAAAAGGTGCATTCTGCTAGTCAACTTCAGAACAATGTATTATTAGAAGAACTGTTGGTAGTTAAAAAAAAGTATGATGGAGTTTGGTCATCTATCTATGTCGTTACTTTGTCAATGGTAATTGTAACGTAATGCTGTGTAAGATTTCTATCGAACTGTGGAATTAAGTGTGAGGATCAAGTGTATTTTATTTTCCCACGTGGTTTTGTCAGGAATGAATTAAAATGGATATGTCTCGAAACATTCAGAAAGAATCCAATGTCTTTCATTACTAGTGTAATATGTCTTTGTAATTGTGGATATACATCAATACTGTGTAACATGTCCATAAATAGTTTATATCGGTGTTACTTGATGCAGTTTTGATACATTGTTTCAAGAATTTTAATACTTTATTATACACGTAAGTATATGTTATTATGTTCATAATTATTCAATAAACTATACAAACATAAAGCAAATAACCTTTATACAATTCATAACTTTGTATTTATATTTTCAGTTATTATTTTACATTTCTTTATTATTAAATTTATTTATGTTCATAGAATTGTGCATCACAACTATATTACCTTTTACGTTTTATTGTCTAAAAGCAATAGAAACGTATTTTATTATTAAATATACAAATGACTCATGCTCAGAATTTAATAAAATTTTATTTTTCTATTTGTATTTGATGTGGAATTGTCTTCAAGTAATATAATTTGTAATATGTAGTAACTATTTATAATTACTAAAAATCAGATTAATAAAGTCTTTTATTTTAGACTTTATGGTACAATAGATAAGGTATATTATGGTACAATAGATAAAGTATCATTACTAAGATTTGATTTTATTTATTGTAAATATTTGTATTTTCAAATAACTGTTACAAAATATAAGCCTTTTTTTTTATAGTGTCCACTTATTCTGATACATTGCTGTACTTTTAGGTACAAAAAACACTATGGGTCGTTACACCGGAAAGAAGTGCCGCCTTTTAACGATGTTATGGCTCACTGCTCTATTTTTCTTGGTAGAAATAGTAGTGGGCTATGTGACTAACTCTATGGCTTTAATAGCTGATAGTTTTCATATGCTATCTGATGTAGCAGCTTTAGTTGTTGCATTTCTTTCCGTAAAGGTAAGTACTTTTTAATTAATATCAGTTTCTTGAAGTGTTTAGAATGATGTACTATAGCATTTAACTAAAGTGATAATGTTCATTGATTACATTGGCTGGTGTATCAAGATGTTTATTTATCTTAGCTTTAATACGCACAATAGATGCAATCATATACTTACAAGATATTTATTAAATAAATATCTTTCCGATTATTAACAGTAAAATATAAAAAAAATTAATTTAAAATTAATTATATTGTTTAAACTAATGAATTTTCGACCCAAGCACCTTAATAATATTTTGTAGAGAATTAAAATACGCTTCGATTGATATGTAGCAAAGTACCAAACTCCATAAAAAAAAAAATAAAGATATTTCGAAATCTTTAAAAAATTTTATTGGAATTTTGTATCTCACGATACGTCAATCGAAGCGTATTTCAATTCTGTACAAAAAAGTATTAAGGGACTTGGGTAAAAAATTCAAAGATTAAAAAGTTATCCTAGGGAGAGACCTCGAGTCTTTCCCTGTCTCTCCCTAAGATATCTTTTGAACTATTGTATTTTCGATTAAAGTACCTTAATGCTTTTTATAAAGAATAATAAGATGCATTGATTAGCATTAAAAAATATATACCATTTCATTTAAAAAAAGGAAATTGACTTTGAAATCTTTAGCGCGTCTTCACTTCCGGAGTCAGCGAATGCACTCCGTTCGACATCATTTAATTTCTTTTCTATCTTTCACCACTTTAGAATTTTATCTTTGCCCAGTTGTATGAGACATCCTGTATAACGAAATGTGTTTCTCAATAGCCATCTTGATTGGTTAATTAATTTTGAACGGGCTATATTTATAATAGTGTTGGTAAAGGGTATTTATAAAGCTTTAAAGGAATTATCGTGTGACAAAGGATTGCTTCAGTTATTGCTGTATAGGTGATATTGCTTCAGAAGAATGTTTTAATATCCTTTTATGAGCTGATGCATTTGATTCACATGTCTTATATACGAAGTATATCTAATTTGTGGTATGGGCCACAGTAGCGTTAATGCGCTTAAAGTGAGTTTTCTTTTACTAATTACTTTCTGAACGTTTTGGAAAGCGAGTTAAGATAAATTCTTGAAATTCCTTCAGAATGAATACATCTCTTTTGAAATAGCCCGTATATTTTAAAGTATACACAACATAAGATAAGCTACTTTTCGGCAATCATATTCTTATCAGTGAGTATGATATAAGAAAATTATTGTTCACTGCTCTATCATATCATTTGTGTTATCAGATCAAATAATTCCGATTATTATTCTAATCTTTTCTTTCTCTTGATATCATAGTCTCCAAGAGTCGATCAATTATTCTAATCTTTTCCTTCTCTTGATATCATAGTCTCCAAGAGTCGATCAATTATTCTAATCTTTTCCTTCTCTTGATATCATAGTCTGCAAGAGTCGATCAATTATATTTAGGCTTCGAAAAATTATCTTTTAATTCATTATCAGTACAAGTCTGATAATTAGTTTTATCGGGACATTGTTCTGCTATCGTTTTCTAAACCGGATACAAAACCCATAGTTTCTTCTTTGTTTCTCTATCCCTTTTTTATCTCTCGTAAATTATCAATAAAAAGGGGAAAATCTATGTTATTTCCGTAAGATATGACGATAATTTAATTTTTACGTTTTCACTTGTTTATAAATACACCAGAATTATAATGTAATCAATGAAATATAAAAAGGTTTTACCTTTTTGCGGTACCTTTTTTTTCTCTCTGTTAATACTTGTAAGAGTATTTTAAAAATATTATTCTAATAACTTTATTTTATTTTTTCAGATGTCACCAAAGAAATGGTCTAAGAATACGTTTGGCTGGGCCAGAGCTGAAGTTTTAGGGGCATTGGTAAATGCTGTATTTTTAGTCGCATTGTGTTTCAGTATTACTGTGGAGGCATGTAAAAGATTTATTGAAGTAGAAGAAATACATGAAGCTAAATTATTAGTGGCAGTTGGAGCACTTGGTTTGTTAGTGAATATCATTGGGTTATGTTTATTTCATGGTAAGCTTATGGTAAGCTTAAAGAGAAAGCGTTTATCAGTTTGTATTGAACCAATTTTTTCTTATAGAACACGGAAATGCTCATAGCCATTCACATGGTATATCTCGAAGTCATAATAGACTGAGTACTTTAGTTGGGACAGATGACAATGAAAATGATGAAGCTTACAGGCCATCAACGCCTCAAGTGAAAAGGACACATGGTCATTCACATGATGCAAGTCAGATGAATATGCGTGGCGTATTTCTTCATGTACTCTCTGATGCCCTAGGATCTGTTATTGTAATAGTATCTGCATTAATTGTTTGGCTGACGAAATGGGAATACAGGTAACTAATTTTTTATATAAAATTAAGTAACATATAATTTTACACATTGTTTAATATTTTACAAAGATTTAAAATATTGTGGAAAACAATATTTATCTGCTACTTTTGAGAATTTTTGTACATACTACTTCTTCGTGCGTTTCTATTATAAGGCGAAATATTTTTACTAACGAAAACTCGGTTAATTTATTACCAAACCATAATTGGATGTTCAACAAATATTATATACATATTTTGTTTTGCAACATCTAACAAAGGTTTCTTATGGAGTTTTATATATTTTATTATAAATTGCAAAAGGGTGTAGAATGATTTTTTAAGTACAAAATATGAGAAGAACGATTTGGGAGATGTACACTTCTCATCGAAGTATACAATTTTTGTATATTTTTCTTCTACTCTGTTTAAAATATTCATTATTAATTTTAATATTCACAGAGCTATAAAAAGTTATTCAAGCAAATAATCGGCGATTTAATTTCAATAAATTTTTATCGAAGACTTTTGTCCGATGTAAGAAAGAGAAAGTTTATGCATTTCGGCCTATTTTTGAGGGCTCAAATGGCTTTTTCTAATATTATAATATTAGAGAATCTTGCAGTAAATATATCAATTTTTGATCAGAATAATTTTACTTTAATTTTAATAGTTATTTAATACTTCTTAAAAGAAATACGTATTTTGTACGTATTACTCGAAATTTCAAAACGAAAAAAAATGTAAAGAGCAATATATTATATACAAGCAAAGCATAACTTCGCATGTATCTAAATGTTGTTCGTTATATTCTATGTTTGAATTGTTTAACATTTTTCTTTTTTATTTAGCTTGCACATTTCAGATGTTTTCATTGTTATATACGGGTTAAAGTCATTTTATTATTAAACAAAACTTTCTTAAAATTGTAGATTTACGCTTCGAATCCTTTCTTTATTTCTTAAGTAACATACTTGAATGAAGATCTTTCAAACTTGATTATTTTAAGTAGAAATATTTGATGTGTTTTTGCATGCAAGATTATTTTTTACTCGATTACTATTTCTTCTAAGGGTGGTTCGCGAAATTAGATTAAGATATACTTAATCTGAAACTTAATTATTGTATAAAATTTGAAAAGAATTCATTTGAGAATGAAAATAGGCCTAAATGCACAAACCTCTTTACAGGCTCGTCAATAGCCGTCTCAAGAGAAAAACCGAATGCGAAAAGCATACATGTGGAAGTAAGTGCATTCATTTTTTATTACGGTTTGCGAAATGTTTATTTATATCTTCTAGATATATACATGCTAGTTTTAGATTATTTTTAATATAAATGAAGCTAATTAATCATAAATATATTGTTTGTGTTTTACTATTTTGCTTATAATAACTTTATCATTTCAGTGCAATTTTTATATGTAGATTTGCTCCTTATTTACATTAATTCATTTTTATTAAATTGAATAAATCATTTTATATCCACCGTATGGCACTGTGATTGTGATTTATGTCTCGTGAATACATTTAGCGCGGGGCGATTTTTCCAAGTCCAGCGTGAATTTCTGTAATTATAAAATTCGTATATTTAAGAGGGTAGATATTCGTTTCGCAGAACGTAGATCTACCTAGGTTCACAGTAGCTTTCTTGAATCTCCTGATATTCCCTGGCTCTTCCTAGGCTCTCTCAGGTTCTCCCACGGTTCTCCTAACACCAAAACATTTTATATTGCAATAAAATGTTCAATCAATAATATTATCTCATTTAATTTTATAATATTAATTTGTTTTACAGATTTTATATCGACCCAGCTCTTTCACTTTTATTGGTGATTCTCATTTTACGATCAGTGTGGCCGCTCTTACAAGAATCTGCATTGATCTTATTACAAACTGTACCAACTCATATTCAGGTAATTTTGTTCACCTTTAATAATATTACATCCATTGACGTAATTAAGTAGAGGCTGACGATTCTGGAGATAATCCTTTTTTGTCTTTCTTTAGGTTGATGCTATTCAACAAAGACTGTTAGAAAATGTTGATGGTGTATTAGCTGTGCATGAGTTTCATGTATGGCAATTAGCTGGTGATCGTATCATTGCTTCAGCGCACATAAGATGTAGAAATCTATCAGAGTATATGAAGATTGCAGAGCAAGTTAAAGAATTTTTCCACAATGAGGGCATACACTCTACTACCATACAGCCAGAATTTATTGATGTGAGTATATAGTCTTATAAACATTGATATAAACAGTTATAAGACTTGCGACGTTAAATCATCTAACAAATTATTTTTTTTTTTTTAACTCTGAATGATAATAAATAAAAGTTAGAAAATAATCATTAGAGAATTAAATTATAACACAAGACATTGTACTATCACACGCGAATAAGTATTTATTCTGTTGAAATGATCAATAATTATATCTTATTAATAACATTATAGTACCAGTCTAATAGTGAAATTAAGGAAACACCAACAGAAGATTGTGTATTAGACTGTCCGAAGACTGATAAGCCTTGTAATCATGCAACATGTTGTGGTCCTTCTAAACAGGTATGTGTTCTATGTGTTAGTAGGTATAATTTGCTATGATTTAAATTCTATTCCGTCGCTTCTAGTCTAACTCGAAGAGAGATACAAATCCCTGTTCTGCCTCCTCTAAATCAAAATGTCTTGGACGATGCTTAGAAGCTATTAAATCAGATTCAAATACAGTTATAGGTAATTTTTACTAATTGCCGTTTAAGAATTATACTTCAATTTTCACATAAATTAAACAATCATTGTTTATGTGAAATTATAAATGAAACATTATTCCTTTGAAACACTAATGAAATATCAAGATTCGTTCCACTTTCACTTTGCAATAATAATAATTATTATATAATTGATATTATTATACCCCATTGTAAAAAGCAATCTTTGTCTTACATTATATATTAACTGTATTAATCATTGGCCTCACTTGATATATTTTAATTCCAGCTCTACTCTCTCATTTTGCCTAAAAGACCTCAGCCCCATAGAATATAATTCCTTTCACCAAATAACCAAATAAAAATAATTTCTCTTTTTTCTGTATTCCATGTTATTATTGGTAATATAATACATGTATTTTAATTGAATTTTAATTCCGAATATAGGTGTCGCTCATATTTTTATCTGACAAGAATTGATATTATATAAACTTTTGAATAGGGTCGTGAAACTCCTTCCCCAGGAGAAACACCATACATGTGCAGACAACGCAATAGCCTTGCACGTTCAACTGGTTCAATAGGAGGAACAGAACAGCAAGAAGTAAATGAAATGGAACGCGGACATTTATTGTCACTGCCTACTTCGCATCACTCCGTCCAACTTCCACATTCTCATGTCAATACACCAGTTGTTTAAGTTATCGTCGTATTATCAATACCTACCTCTGTAATAAAAATCTGCGGCGCGTTACAATGTTATAAAAAAATTCAATAAACCAATATACACACCATGTGCTTCGTTGCTGCCGAAGACACGAGTAGGTCTTTTATTGGCTTTACTCAAATTTGTAATTATATTAGGGGAGTGCATAAATAATTTTACTTTTATAGGGTCTGCAGACTTTTTGATTAACGATTGAAATTATTTATGCACCATTCTAATATTAGAATTTCACAAACTTTTTATACCTGATACATCGGTATTTATATTGATGTTATTTTCAATTATATGACCAAACTATATTTGTTTGCTTAGATTTTTTATTGTTTTTCACGTAAGGCAGGTAAGTATACATATTTATAAGTTACAAGAGTAGGAAGGAATACGTGAAAGAGAAGAAAACGTTAGCATTAAAGTTTAATAATCAACTGAAATTGTATTTTTAATATTAGTTATTGTAAGGAAATTATTATGTGTAAGAGTGATGATTTTTATTGTATTTAATAACAGTTCAGTCTGTAAAATAAGAATTATTACATTTTCTAAGATGTACAGAATTAAATAGCGAAACTTGCATTGTATTATGCATATATTATGCTATGTATAATTGTAAAGCTATAATATGTATATACTTATTGAAAAATTTATAGTTGTGAAATTGCATACGGATATATTTATTGAATTTAATTATTCGAAATAAAAGTTAAAAAAATATTTTCGGTCATAAGACTTGATCTAATGGTTTTCATTTATGAAACAAATATTCCATATATTAATCCATCGCATGTTCTTCTAATGACACAGATACCAATTATTTTATTTAAACAAAATAATAGCTACAAAAAATATTGTTTTGTTTAAATATTGATTAATTTTTATAATTAGGAATAAGGTATTGTTAAGACAAAATGAAATATGCACCCTTTATTTATTTTTATTGTAAAATTTATTTTCAATAAAAATGTACATGTACTTATTATTGGAATATTAGTAATATTTCAGTTTTAATAGGATTCCTTTTTATATTATTTTTTAATCTTCAGGATAAACAACTCCAACTTCTCGTCGGATCTCATCTTCTAATTTTGCAATCAATAAAGAAGCATCATGAGGTACTTTGGGACTTTCAATTAAACCTGAAATAAAAATGTAAGTTAATAGTAGATATTCTAAAGCTTTCCTTTAATATTGAGTAGAGTCAACTAAATACTGTAATTATTATCATATTTGTCCACAGAATGCAATACCTTTTAAAATGCAGTTACGAGCTTCCTCAGCTTCGAATCTCAATCCAGCACTGTTGATAAAATTAAATGGATGTGCTGCTTCCGGAAGTGGAGCATGGACAGTGCCGCTCGGTAGTTCTACAGTTGCAGGGCACCAAAACTGTGGTACCTTTATCATTCCCTTTGTACCAAGAATATAAGCTTCATTAGGTAAATTAATTAAGGAATGCGTAACGATAGTTGCAGTGCGATTTCCACTATACACAAAGGTCGCAGATACAGATTGATCAACTCCTTCTTCATTTAACGTGCCAGCAGCTCGAACAGTATGCGGAACATCGTGGTTAAACACCAAACAGGCGAGTTGTATTCCATATACACCCAAGTCTAATACAGTACCACCTCCTAGACTTTTTGCGCTAAACAAATAAAAGGAAAGTGGAGGTATTTTAAGGAGTAGTTTAAAATATATCGTACGAGTCTTCCCTTGTCTCTTCCTAAGATATCTTTTAAACCGATGAATTTTCGACCCAAGTACCTTAATAATTTTTTCTAGAGCAAAATAAATAACGTATAAAAATGTGTACGTACTTAACTCTTTCAACGTCTGACAGTTTAAATCCGAAAGATACGATAACTTGATGAATATCTCCAATGCTTCCCGAATCAATCTCCTTCTTTATAGCTTCATATGTGGGGAAGCATCTACTCCAGATAGCTTCCATAAGGAACAATTTTTTGCTCCTTGCGAATTTAATTAACTCGGTTGTTTGTTTCAAATTCATAGTCAAAGGTTTCTCACAGAGAACGTGTTTTCCATGATTCAACATCAATTTTGCAATCTCAAAATGTTGAGGATTCAACGTTCCGATGTATACAATATCTGTTGAAATTAATAAATGCCAAATATGTATACATATTATGTAATACTCTTGCAGAGAAAATAACATATCCTATTTAATACGTACCAACTTCTTTATCCTCGGCTACCTTCGCATAACTATCGTATGCCTTTTTAATTTTGTGCAAGCTAGCAAATTTTTGTGCCCTTGATAGGTCTCGTGCTGCTATTGCAACAACCACATGTTCGGATGCTGGCAATATTCCCAAAGCTGTAACAAAGTCATGGGATATTTTTCCAGCACCTGCTACACCCCAACGAAGAGCCATCTAAAATAAGATAAATTAATTCAAACAACTTGTATGTATAAATTCTTCAACTTGTAACTGAACAGCAAAGGATTATCAGCAAAAGAATTATATTATCGAAGGAAAGATATTACGAGAAAATTATCAGTAAGATAAGAGAAAATTTCTCTAAAAAATGTTCAAGAAGATTAAGACGAAAAATTTCCAGAGTTCCATTAATTTAAAAGTTATAAATATTATAAAAATATGCTCTGGATGGATGAGTCAAAGTTTCAAATTTCAGAATATAAACACTACTTCCGGTCCGCAAGAGCCCTACCCCTACAAAAACCGTCCTGTTTTATCTTTCGTTAACAAATATGGAATGTTCGGCAACAGTATTTTTATAACATTACAATGTTTATTATTTAATATATTTTTTTAAAATATTCAACAATATAGAATACCATTTCAAAAGTTTATAAGACACATTAAAACTTTACTGTATTATTATTGTATTACTCTTATTGTAATATTATACGTATTATATCACATTATATTATTCTGTTAAAAAATGTTATTATTATCATATTACATGTTTTATTCGTAGAATATTAATTCTCGAATACTTAAAAATAAATTGTGCCAACTTACAACTTAAAATAAATAGTCTGTAACAATTGTTCCCAAGTACTGTAAGAAGTATGTACAAACAACACTACACAGTAACAAGCCGATCTACTAATCTGACATTCAAATAACCTTTTATACAGGATAAAGTCATAAATTATAAGTTATAAGAGCTACTATATCATTATAAGAACTGGTATACAGATTGTTACAGAATATTACGTTTATTGAATTTCCTATCATTAAAGATATGTATCTTATGCCTTTCTATACAGCAGTGATTGCAAATACAAAAAGACGGGACATTTTTAATTTTGACCCTATTTTTTAGAAATCAGAGTTAAAAATCAGCACAAGATCGAAAAATTATTGAAGTTTAAAGAGGGAAGTAAACAGTATAAATTAACCGCATCGCGCTGGAGCGCATCAGTCTATCTTCGGACGTCAAAGAGGGAGGAGGTTTGTACTCTCTCTCGCACGATTGCAGCGCCATCTGTACAAAACCGGCTCAAACTACTCAATAACTTATCGATCGATATTTTTTTTAGGGGAACACTAGCGCCACTTGACGGGAACCAGCGAAAGCTAGACAACAATTTATCGACTGCTGCAGAAACATAAATTCATTTGCGCATGCTTACACAACCTGTCTGATTTTCTATCAATATGGCGCCACCGGTTCTTCCGTCCAACGGAACCATTTCGTCGATTTCGTCGCATCTTTCGTACTAAAAGCTGTAAGCATGAGGGACGACGTAAGTGCTACGGAGGAAACTGCTCAAAAAGAAGAAGAGGTAGCTCATTTTCAAGCACCCGCAATTCAACATAATCCTGATGGATGGGGTCCTTGTGAGTTACCTGATCAATTTAAGGATATACCTTACCAACCATTTTCCAAAGGCGACAGGCTAGGAAAGGTTTGTCACTTATTTTTGCTAGTTTTTATTCGTATTATAAACGTTTCTCACATTCTTTTCTAATATTTTCTGCTGTAGATATCTGATTGGACTACACCAGCGTTCCAGGATAAGAAATTTCCCAGTAAGTATTTTTTATCCTTGTGTAACCTACACCTATGTTTCTAATAGAAGGTTTGTAACTTTGTTATATTAACAATTATTTTTTAAATTGTTAGCTTTAAGGTACTAATTATAAATACAATGAAATTTGTTCTCCGATTTTATATATTTTTCATAGTATAATAAAGTTACAAAGAAATCAATAATTGATGAGTTACTAATTACAATTTCATTCATACATTTCTTGCACATCAAATTAATAAAATGATATAATATGTATTGTTTTAATTATTAAGATTTTATAATATAATATATAAATATAAGTGTAACTGTTAAAACTTATTATTCATATTTTATACTTTAGTTATTTCAGACCATTTACTTTGCTTCAACATATGTCAGATGACAATCTTTACTTACTTTTTAAAATATTAACAATGAAATTTTTTTTTATTTAGATAAGTACACGTCGCAGTTTGGTTCAGGCAGCCAGTATGCATACTTCCATGATGAAGATGAAACAACCTTCCATTTGGTTGATACAACCCGCGTACAGAAACCACCTTATCAACGTGGTGGTCGTTTCCGCCATAATCAGAGAAACTTACGCGGTCGTGGTAACCAGCGCGGTGCGTTGAGCCAAATGCAACAACTTGGTAAATTCAAGCTCCGTGAAAGAGATCGTAAAGGCCAGACGAAACGCTGGGGTAGACAACAGGGCTTGCGTAATCATAAAAATCAACCACCGATTAAAATTCGCGATGCATCTGTTACTGTAAGACCAGATTGGGTCACTATCGAAGAAATGGATTTCCCACGTTTAGCGAAACTATCTTTACCTGGTGTAAAAGATGGAGAAGATATCTTATGCTGTGGTTCTCTCGAATATTACGATAAAACTTATGACAGAGTTAATGTCAAAAACGAGAAGCCATTGCAAAGAGTTGATAGAATTTTCCATACCGTTACTACTACTGACGACCCGATTATTCGTAAACTTTCCAAAACCGAAGGAAACGTTTATGCTACGGATGCTATCTTGGCAACAATAATGTGTTGCACTCGTAGCAACTATTCTTGGGACATCGTAATTGAAAAAATTGGAGATAAATTGTTCTTTGATAAACGGGATAATACTGAATTTGATTTGTTAACCGTGAACGAAACCAGTGTCGAGCCTCCTCAAGATGATGGAAATTCTCTGAATTCTCCTAGAAACTTAGCTTTGGAAGCTACATTCATTAATCATAACTTTTCTCAGCAAGTATTAAAATCGAATGAACCCAGACACAAATTTGAGGAGGGTAATCCGTTCATTTCCGAAGAAGAGGAAAGTGACGTTGCTAGCGTTGCATACCGATATAGAAAATGGGATTTAAATAATGGAATTGTGCTTGTTGCAAGATGCGAGCATGATGCTGTTATGCAAGGTCCGAATAACGAAACTCAATTCTTAACAATCAAGGCTTTGAACGAATGGGATTCGAAATTGGCCAATGGCGTTGAATGGAGACAGAAGTTAGATACTCAGCGTGGTGCGGTATTAGCTAACGAGCTTCGTAACAATGCATGCAAATTAGCAAAGTGGACTGTTCAGGCACTGCTGGCGGGTTCGGATCAATTGAAATTTGGATATGTATCCAGAGCAATGGTCAGAGATTCTAGTAAACATGTAATTCTTGGTACTCAACAATATAAGCCAAATGAGTTTGCAACACAGATCAATCTTAATATGGATAATGCTTGGGGTATTTTAAGATGTATTATTGATATTTGCATGAAACAAAAAGATGGAAAATATTTAATTATGAAAGATCCAAATAAGCCAATGATAAGATTATATGATATTCCGGATAACACATTTGAGAGTGAAGGAGAAGAAGATGAGGATGATGATGAACCTGTGAATGATGCTTTCCAGAGTTAACATCTTAAGCTTTCTATAACTTTTTTGGATCATTGTCTTAAGAGTCATTGATTAATATTATAAACATGTACTATACCAAGAAAAAGAAAAACAATAAAACAAATTTTAATTTAGCTTTCCATCTTGTTAAAAAATCCTAAGTTATGCATAACTCAAGTCATATTCTTATGTATTTTAATGTAAGAAAATCATCTTTGCTATTTATATGTATAACAAGACCCTAAACATTATTAGAATAATTATTTGACAAACTTATATTTTGAAAAGACCGCCTAGAATTAGTTTTAAAGTTCGACCACTGCGCCATCTATACAAGAGCGGCGGAAACTACTCAATAAATTACCGACTTATCGACTGAACTTTCGACAGTCGGTAAGTTAACGAATAGTTTGCGCCGCTGTTATATAGATGGCGCAATGGTCGACGGCTTGGGGTGTTAGAGACCCCAAAGCACCGGTAATACTCTGCATATCGACATTATGGCATCCGGGGTTGCAGGAACCCCAATGCATCGGTGACACTCTCTACATACAGACGTGATATCTTGGGGTGTCAGGGACCCCGGCGACTCTCTCTGTGCACCGACAAAATATTATTTTGGGGTATTAGGCACCCCGAAGCACGGATGATACTCTTGTGAAACGAACTGGAGAATGAAAAATGTTAAAAGGTATTTAAAAAATATATTGAACTCTAAGTCTAAAATAAGTCTAAATGTCTAAAAATATTAACTAATAAAATAGAACAGCATATGTTAATTAAGCAGAGCAGCATAGTCCTCTAGCGGTAAGTGCAAGACATATTATCGAGACAGTAATTGTTACATCAAGTATATTTTCTTAAAGAATTAGAGACTTCAAGAATAACTTTTATCAATGCATTTTGATTTGTTTGCAGTATTTTTACTGGATTTAATATGGCTTCTTCTGTGATTGCAACAGCAACAGTGCGTGCTATTAAAGGCAGAAAAATACTCGCTACAAGAGCCGCTCTTACTTTAGTGAGTGGATGATTGATTAATGTAGATCTGATAGCTCTAAATTATTGTTGTATAATGTTGGGTAATTTTACGACACAGACAAGTAACATTTGCGAATTAAACAAATTAAGGTTAGGTTTCAATTTATATTAATATTTAGAGAGGTATCTATAAATTTTATCATAATTTAGACAAATATTTATAATTTAGGATTAATTATAAAAAATATAATTGGTCTTATCACCTTGTGAGTTACTGTGTAATATTTTTAGTCAAGTTTAGCTATATATTAATTCAATAATAGAATTTGATCATTTGTCTTAAAACATGCAGATCTATATACAATATAAATGAAATCTATAAAAGGTAGTATGTAGAAAAACTTAATGTACTTGTTGATTAAAACTACAAATTATATGTTAGAGAAAAATATCAGAATAATTTCTTGCTAGTTTTCAAACAATATTTGTATTATATTTAATTAATAGCACAGTTACATTAATAATTTATGCTTTATGATCATTTTGTTACAGACACCAAATGCAGTGAAAAAAATTAAGGAGTTGCTGAAAGATAAAAGCAAATATGTGAGTGAATGTAATACATTTAGTCTCAACATCTTTTGATATTTAAGTAGGATCTTGTGATATGAAATAAATATTATAAAGCTTCCCCAATGAAAATGGCAATGACCCCTTCCTCTCCATAGACCTTCTTGAGTTTATGGGCTTCCACCCACTGACCCCATAGAGGTGCTCAGGAAGAATGACCATGCACTTTTTTTCTAAGTTATTTTTAATATCAATATCATTAAATATTGTACTATGTTTGAAACTGTACAATGTAGAAAATAATTTTCTTTGCTAGTAAATCCAAGGTTATCTAGAATTTTTTTGATGGAACTATTTACATATATCATTTTTTCATTATAATAATGTTTGGCATTTTGTCAATTGAAAATGTGAAATCATTATAGTATAATTATAAGAATACTGCTTACGAAACTACTCAAGGTTATAAATAATTGTTGAAATCAGATATTGAATAGAAATAATAATTCGTGTTTCAGATCGGACTAAAAGTAAGTGTGAAACAACGAGGATGTAATGGGCTTAGTTACACTCTTGATTATGCCACAGACAAATCTAAACTTGACGAGGAAGTTGTTCAAGATGGTGTTCGTATTATAATCGACAAAAAGGCACAGTTGTCTCTTTTAGGTACTGAAATGGACTATGTAGAAAATAAATTAAGTTCTGAATTTATTTTCAACAACCCAAATATTAAAGGAACTTGTGGATGTGGAGAAAGTTTCTCCGTTTAGTCAATTCAATTGTAGATATTGTAGTTAAAATAGATAATTATGACAAAATGAATGAATAGCAATTCCACGAAATAGTGACTTCATGGGATGTTTTGTTAACTTTGGTATGATCTCGTTCAATATTCGTTACTGACATTTTCAATTTAGATGATGACCCTGATTAATATAATGTGTACATCATGGCAAAAAGAGGCTGAACTAAGTAGGATCCTTATTTAAGACATGCAAATATGACCGGGTGTTGTAATATACGTAAAATTGTCCTGAAAACATATTTTATTTTTCTTCTTTATTAAAATTATTTAATATGTAATATCACTGAATTTGTTTCATTTTTTCTGCAAGTTGTTAAGCAATTACCAAATTTTTAAAGTACAATTTGAAATATAAAATAAATATTACATTATTTGAAGTTTTTTATTCGAATGATTCTTGATACTTTCCTCAATTAACAAAAATATGTTAAATTCGTAAGTTTAAGTAACTTACATTGTATATAAATTATAACTGTGCATAACTGTATATTATACATAGTGTAATTACTCTATATTGATTTTATTATTAGTTAGTGTGAATGTAATATTCATTGTAATCAATTATGAACATGTATTATTTAATATAATAAAAGATATTTTTATTATTACAGTTGTTTCTCTATCATCCTTCCTTTTAATATAGGAAATGATAGTACCACAGTATCGATCAAGCATCAAATTTTTGTTAAAAATTCAAAGTAAAGTGGGGGATCTTATGCAACATTTCCCCACATTAAAAAAAAAAATCCTTTACATTCTCTACTTTCCTTACATTCCTGCATCTCGTATATGCCGGCATTCCTTATACCTCGACATCCCTTACATCTCTGTACCCTTTATATTTCTGTACCCCTTCCACACCTGAATTCTCCCTGCACCTCTTGTATCCTTTCAACGCTTATAATAAATATATTATAAATAATATACTTATGGCCACTGGTTCGAGTAAAGGTAAGTAAAGGTAAGTAAAGGTAAGTAAAGTCTCGTGAAAAATAATTTTAAATTAAAATTTTTGCACGATTTAGTTTCTTTTTCGGCCACCAGATGGCGCTGATCCGACGTCGAAATTTTAGTTCACATTTTTGCCACCAGGGGGCCAAAAATGGTGCCTGATTTAGTTCCTTTTTCCAAAACCAGATGGCGCTGATCCGACATCGAAATTTTAGTTCACATTTTTGCCGCCAGAGGGCCAAAAATGGTGCATGATTTAGTTCCTTTTTCCGAAACCAGATGGCGCTGATCCGACATCGAAATTTTAGTTCACATTTTTGCCGCCAGAGGGCCAGAAATTGTGCAAGGTTTAGTTCCTTTTTCTGAAACCAGATGGCGCTGATTCGACATCGAAATTTTAGTTCGCATTCTTGCCGCCAGGGGGCGCTGCTTTTTCGAAATTTTCGCGAAATTCCTTTACTTACCTTCATTTACCTTTACTCGAAGCAGTCTTTACAATATATTTATTATGAGGGATGCAGAGATTTAAGGAATGTGGGGATGAAAAGAATGTAGGAATGAAAAGAATGCAGGGATGTAAGGGATGCAGAGATGTAGGGAATGTAGGGATGAAAGGAATGTAGGGATGAAAAGAATGTATGGATGAAAAGAATGTAGGGATGAAAAGAATGTAGGGATGAAAAGAATGTAGGGATGAAAAGAATGCAGGGATGTAAGGGATGCAGAGATGTAATGGAACGAGGGATGTAAAGGAATCCTGTGGGGTCCGGGGCTGGGGCCCTGGGGCCCCCTCCCCAGGGGGGCTGAAGGTGTCTTTCTGAAGATTTCCACCACGTTAAAAAAAAAAAAAAAAAAAAAAAATGGTACTTAAGGGTTGCAAGAACGTAAGGAATGCTGGGGTGGAAGGAATGCAAGTACGTAAGGGATTCTGAGATGGCCGTGGCCTATACTGAGGGATAAAATTATATAAATAACTGGAAAAAGTAAAATAAATGGGGTCCTCGGCTGAGACCCAGAAGACGAATACAATCATATATGTTATTCCCAATCGATGAGCTTATTTAATAAGCAAAAACAAATAAATGAAGTAAATTAAATAAACTCTGGAAAAAAATTAAACTGGTTGTGCCCTCCTCATACGGACCTGATATTACCCTGGGGTGTTAAGGACCCCTGTGTGCCGACGACGTCCTTTGCGTACCGACTTGACATCATAGTGGGGTATTAAGGACCCCGAAACGCCGGTGACTATCTTTGTATACCAATAATATAGCATACGGGGTGCCAAGGACCCCGGAGCACCAATGACTATCTCTACATACCGACATGATATCATCTTGGGGTTTCAGGAACCCCGAAGCACTGGTGGCACGGTTTGCATACCGACATTTTGGCATCCGGGGTGTCAGGGACCCCGTAGCACCGACGACACTCTTTGCTTACCGACACTACGGCATTCGGGGCATCTGAGACCCCGAGGTACCGGTGTTGCTGCATACCGATATTACGCCACCGGGGTGTCGGGGACCCCTAAGCAAGTAGCGAAATATAAGACCTAAAAATGAATAAATGGACCACCATACTGCACCATACATAATAAATCCTCTGATTTGATAGCCTGAACAATTGCTACGTTGCGAAATGATTTTAGTATAGTTATTAGATCGTTTGTTTAAAGTTCAGTATTTCTTTTTGATGAGAAATATTAGTTATTAAATGATATATTGTGTCTGTATAAGAACTTTACGATTTTATACAAGTTATTAATCTCTTACTTTAAAACGTGTTGAAATAAAATAATGCTTAACGGACCAAAAATAATAATTATTGGAGCTGGAGCTGCAGGAACTGCTGCAGCAAGTAGATTAATAGAGAGCGGTTTTGAAAATGTTACAATTCTAGAAGCAGAAAGTCGAATTGGTGGGAGAATACACACGGTAGAGTTTTGTAAGCAACACTCACATTCATATTAAAAATTCTTTTATTTATCAACATATTTTTTTGTACACAATAAGAATATAATGTAAAATTTTTCATAAGACTAGTTATATTATATTTGTTTTCAGCTGATAATGTTGTAGAATTAGGAGCACAATGGGTTCATGGTGAACGAGGGAATGTTGTCTTTGATATAGCCTCTCCACACAAATTATTGGATTCATCTAAATGTTTTAATGATTTTGGTGGGCATGTATTTGTTACTGCTAAAGGTGAAATACTTCCAAAAAAAGAAGCTACAGAAACAGTAAAAATATATTATGATATTTCTGAAAACATAACAGATGCTATAAATGATACAGAATCTTATGGAGAGTATTTCATATGTCAGTAAGTATATAATACATATAAAATGTAACACTGTTCTTCTTATCATATTTATTTGTATGATGAATATTTATCTTGCACATTTTCTTAGTAGAATATGTTTAGTAAATGCATCAATATCACTTTGTCTAAACCATGCTTGTAAAGTTGGATGCAAGTTTGCATTTGCAACTGTATAAACTTCTTTATCAGGAACTATGCATCTGATTAGAGAAACATTTTGGTGTTTAAACATTTTCATTAAAATATAGAAATAGTAATTTATTAAGATATATACATACCTTACACGATAATTGACACACTGATTATTCACGTACTCGTATCTTAATAATGAGTATATATATTTTATATACTTAGCATCCAATTTATTTTGATCTTCAATGTACACTTTTCTAGGATTCTTTATTCTTTCCATGTATCCCTGTGTTAATATTGGTACAATAAAGTTAACCTAAAAATGAAAAACAGTTAACAAAAGAATTAATTTTGTATTTCAAAGTAAACAATATTATTGTACCTGTTTAAAACAATCATCTACAAACTCTTCTGCTCTACTGTATACATAATCTTCTTGTTCTTGAAGCATAACTACTCCAATCCTAGGTTTTTCGGATCTAAATATCTTTGCTATGTACTGTGCAATTGCTAAACCATCATCAGCAAATGTTAACATAACTATGCAGCCGAATTTTTGTTTGCTCTATTAAAATATATAAGAAAGGTTAATCTTTTTGCTATAATCAAGTTTTAAACATATTTATAATAGATATTTGAAGATACCTTTTGTACATTATCTTGTATCATATGTTCAGAGTCAACACTTTCCTTTCTGTGTATATTTTGTATAGTTCCTATTGGAGTTAAAACTAATGGTGCTCTTGGAATAGTTTTTGTTTTTGCAATAGTAGATTCTGTACAGGCATAAAACCATTACATTGAAAATATTGTTAGTATTATTAGTGCTGTTAGTTCCTTGCAATGAATATTTAAGTACCATTAGTTACATTATTTTGTGGAACTGCATCAATTAGACCAGAAATATTGTCCTTTATTAGATTAATTATATCAAAACGATCCATTTTTTCCAAAGCAGAGAAAATTCTATCAACAGTTGCTTCAGCATGTTGCACATAAGTTAATAATACATAATAAGTTGGATCTTGCAAGCCTTTGAAATCATAATCTATACACTATGAAAAATAGAGATGTATGAAAATAATAATATTATATAATTAATGGATATTTTACATATTTGTTATACGCATACACGTATTTGTTCCATTGTTAGTCCCATGTGGGATGCAAATTCTTGCCATCCGCTATATGCTTTCCCTGTAGCAGTAGAGCTTAACAATAAACACAATTGCTGCAATGTAGGTCTTCCAATGTTTTCAAATAAATAAGAAGCATGAATTCGTGCTGTGACTCTTTGAATGTTTAATAACACAGTATCTAAATTTGGTGGACCATCAACTTCCTCCCTCAATTTTTCTAATTCAGGATCAATATTCCTAAAATTAAGTATTTGATGATATTGTTAATACAATTAATAATAAAAAGGTGATACCTTTTGGCAAACATATTATGCATATTGTATATAGAGATTTAATGCAATGTTTCCTTTAACAACATAAAGATCATTTTCGATCTCAACAATATTAAAAAAATGTTTTTATGTATGTATAATTTCGTTTTTTAATATAACAATGTCGAGAAAACATGATATTAATCTTATTTCGAATAAAGACAACAAAATTTTGACACTTTTTGCGCTTGTATCTATGCATACGATTTTCTATTTAACTTTTCAGTGCAGTTATAACAAATATACTATAGCATCCCTACCACTATCCTCTGCAAGGTTGATGATTCACACCATCATCATCATCATTTCATTTTACCGCTAAGATTCAAAATCTGCGGATTGAAAATTCGATTACATATTTACGAAATTACAGATTTTATAAAATCTTTGAAGAAAATCCATTTACTACTCGTGATAGAGCAGAACAATTGCTGGACTGGATGCACAAGTTTGATAATTCAATCCAATGTAGTGATTCCTGGTTTGATGTTTCTGCAAAGGAGATTACAAAATATTGGACTTGCGAAGGAGATCATGTACTCAATTGGAAACATCATGGTTATAAAACACTGTTTGATTTATTATCTGTATGTATATTTTATATAAGTATCACCTATAACATTTTATAGTTTATGGGATATATTATTTATTTTCTCTCTTTTAAGCAAAAGATTTCAAATTCAAAAAAGATGATATCCATAATGGAAAACATAGAATTTAATAAAAATGTTTCTAATATTGATTATACTTCACACAATAATATAATTGTGAAGACCAAAGATGGCTCTAAATATACAGCATCTCATGTTATATTTACCGCATCTCTTGGAGTCTTGAAAGAAAAGCATACAGCAATGTTTACACCAATTTTGCCTGACAATAAGCAACATGCAATAAAGGCACGGTAAAACTCTAACATTAATTGGTAATGTTGAAGTTTTTATATGTTTTAAGGCATTGAGCATTTAATATAAAATATAATTATAACATGTTGTTTAGGGTTTGGCCTTTGGAGCTGTGAATAAAGTTTTCTTAGAATTTCCATACAGATGGTGGCAAGAAGAATGCGTTGGTTTTAGCTTAATATGGTCCAAGGAAGATAAAGAAGAATTCATTCTATCTCATGGACAAGTATGATTATATTACTTTTTATATGTTAATACTCTCATCTGTAAAGTACATTAAATGAATTATGTATGGTTTAGGAATATGAGTGGCTATGCGATGTTTTTGCATTTATTTCTGTAGACTACCAACCACGAGTATTATGTGCTTGGATTGCTGGCAAATATGCAAAACACATGGAATCACTTTCTGATAAGGATGTGTCTGATGGATTATACTTATTATTAGAAATGTTTTTAAGTAAAGCATATGACATTCCGAAATTCGATCAGATGCTCAGGTAATAATTTATAACACGTTACTTATTAATGTTCCTGCATTAACATTATTTATATTGTTCATATTATAGATCATCATGGCATGCAAATGAACATTTCCGTGGATGTTACAGCTTTAGAAGCGTAACAACCGAAAAACTAAACGTGGAAACAAAAGATTTAGCTGAACCTCTTAGTACCGCTGATGGTAAACCTGTATGTGTTTCTATTAATTAATCTGTTAAAGAAATAATGTATACTGAATTTTTCAGTATTTTAATTTGTTTATTAGATACTTCTTTTTGCTGGCGAAGCAACACACGATCATTATTATTCGACCGTGCACGGAGCAGTCGAAACGGGGTTTAGAGAAGCGGATAGAATAGTGGATTTCTACAGGTACATTCCATTAATTATTGCTTATTTGAAATAAGGTAGTTCTGATATACAGTAGTACAGACTTCCTGATCACTCATTCTAGCTGTGATAATGGATTTTTATTTACAAGTAATGATTCTCGAGCTTAACAAAGCTCTTCTGATAACGCTTCGATCGCCCCGATTTATATCAATTATTTATCAATTTTTTTTCTTTTTTTTTTTTATTAAGGGCAACATAAGAGTGAGTTGATATAGAATCATGTTTATACTGAATGATGTGTTCCATTTGTATTGATTAGCATGCTTTTTCTTAGGCGGTTAAACTCTCAGCTCTAACCAGAGCCACATGTTTCTTCATAAGGGATCACGGTAAATTATAGACTTATCTGATGCTTTACATCATAAAAGTCAAAGAAGACATACCCTTTATATAATTGTTTATACCTTTCCGTATAAACAGTAATAGGTTTAAGTGGTCATTTGTAACACACTACTGCTTATTCTTAGTATTTTATCCTCTCGGTGAAGGGAACTTAAAATATGTATTCCCATATTTGATAACAAATATATATAATTAAAATGCATGCATGTTTAATCTTGCTGCATTGACAGTCACATCTCCCTTTACTTGCAACTAATAAAAAACGTATCATTAACTGAACGAAATATTCTGTTACTATCTGGTCGCATTTGTCAACTGTTACCTGTACTTATATAATTGGTAATATGTATAATACATATTGAAAATTAATTGTAAATCTATAAGACAGACAATTTTAATGAAGAATCACAATTCAAATCACGTAGAACGCGTGGTTGGTTAAATCAAGTGATAAGCAACTTCGATAAAATGGGAAGGATGCTGAATACTTTGAAGCAAGTAACAGCGAGAACGAAACTTGTAGTGATAGGTGCAGGTATTGCAGGATTGGCAGCTGCAAGAACATTAGAAAATGCAAATTTCAAAGACTACTTATTGATCGAAGGTAAACGAAATTCAAATGTAAATTATATTGTGAAATAAAAATATTCTACAGCAAACAACTGTATTTAAGCTCAAAATGAAATTGGCGGTCGAATTCAATCAATACCGTGGAGTAAAGGTTGGATAGAAAGCGGGGCGCAATTTTTACATGGTGATCAAAGTCAATTAGCGCAGCTCTGTTATCAACATGATTTACTTTCGAGCATCCAGTGCAGAGATGGTGAAGGAATTTTTATTCGCAACAATGGTTGCAAAGTAGATGATGCTTTGGTAACGGAGATAGATGACTTTGTTCGCACAACTTTAGAAGAGTGTGAAAATTATGAGAACAAAACCGTCGAAGCTGGCAACGAAAATATTGGTAGAGTTTTAAGAAATTCTCTCGCCAAGTACTTAGACGAACAAAACGATTCACTGAGAATAAAGAATATAAAAAAGGAAATTTTTGATTGGAATGTCAGATTCCTTACAATAGACAATTCCTGTTTTACATTAGATGAATTGTCTACTGAATACTGGGGAAAATTTAAGGTGAATACAAGTCAATTATCATCTATCGTGCTCGATATACATTATACACTTGATATATATGCGTGGTTTATAGTTTGTTGGAGGACCAGAACATCTTTCATTCAAAAGCGGGTACGGCTCATTAACAAAACTTATCGCTAATGGCTTAAATGGGAAAAACTTACTTCTGAATACTTCCGTGGAATCGATTGAGTGGCAACCAGTGGTTGATAATGATTTTGACCCTCCACTTGTATTAACTCTTTCCGATAATACTCGGATCCTCGCAGATTGTGTGATAGTTACTTGTTCTCTCGGTTATTTGAAGGAGAACCAGAAAAACATGTTCAATCCACCTCTGCCAATACAGTTCAGTCAGGGAATCGAAAATCTTGGATTTGGCCTAATTAACAAAATCTTTCTCGACTTTGGTGTTCCTTGGTGGAAACCTGGTACAAAAGGATTTCAATTACTTTGGAAAGAAAGTAAATTAGTTTCTTCTAACGAAACATTGGCTGCATGGACCCGAGATCTTACAGGTTTCGACGTTCTACCAGACCACGAAGGTGTTCTTCTCGGTTGGATCGGTGGACGAGGAGCTTATATCGTTGAAACTTTAAGCGAACAACAAGTTGCGACTGACTGCGAAAATTTGCTCAAGCATTACCTAAAACTCGATAATATATTTCCAGTCAAAAGGTGTTTTAGAACTCAATGGAATGCAAACAAATATATCCGAGGTAGTTACAGTCATATAACAACAAAATGTGATGACAATGGGATAACACCAAACATTCTGTCACAACCTGTTTGGGGTAAAGTAATGCAGGAAAGTTGTAGTAAGGTAAAAACAAAAAAAAAAAACAATTATAAAACATAAAGGTGTATGTACCTAAAATATGAAATTGTCTTTTCATTCCAGGATGTACCCATCATCATGTTTGCTGGTGAAGCAACTCACGAGAACTTTTATTCCACGACGCACGGTGCTTACGACACTGGAGTAAAGCAAGCACAAATGTTCCTTGGTCATTATATTACAAACAGCTGATTACTATAATGTGTATAAAAATAATTTCCAAGTATGTATGTATTTACACACATTTCCTGTACATATGTATATATACAAGTACACACGCACATCTTTAATCGAATGGAAATAAAGGAAAAATTCTTACATTTAATAATTACATAATGTGTTTACTAGATCTGTAAATACAGATGACTGAAACCTGAAAATCTATTTTTTCTTTTTTATAGTAATTTTCATTTATAGTAGTTTTCATCCAAAATGGACATCGTCACATTCGGGCAATTGTTTTTTATAGAAATCTATCAGTCTTTCGGCTTCTCTCCACCCGGTAGCAACTGCACCATGCACCGTGGAAAATTGATGATTGTTGGTTGCTTCCCCACCGAATAAAATCAACTGAAAATGATAAAAAATATGGAAGATATTTTCAATTTTAATCGTCAGAAAATGTCTTGTTAGCTAGCTTACCGGTTTTTCCATTTTTAAGATTGGTTCAGACAATTGTTTAGCACTCGAATTCGTTCTTACCGTTTCCAAGCTACGGTAACTATAAGTCCCGCGAAAATGTTTTTCATACCATTTACTCCTACAGACAATAAAATGGAATAATGGAATGACAATGGAAAGAAGCGTGTGCTAATAATAGAGAGATTATTACCTTATCATCCCTATCGGTTTACTAACGTTAAAATGCTTTGACAAAAATTTGTTTAACAATTCTACGCATTGATCGTATACTTCATCGTCTGTGACGTTATCCATCAAACGCCCGCCCTTTCCGGAAACCCACACGTAGAGTAAGCGAGGCTTGTGTTCCACGACCCAAAATCCCAACGCGTAAGCCATCCACCTTCTTTTAGGCTACAAAACCATTGACCATTATCATATTCACTATCCAATTTTCAAATTACTTACATCCCTGTCAAGTTCCTCCCTCTCTTCTTTACTCCATATCAATCTGTAACCGCCATTTTTCATGTTCTCAGGATTGAACCAAGTGTCATTAAACGCTAAGAATATTTTACAAGCGTATCCGTACCCCAAACCCTAGGTAAAACAGAATTATATAATAAAATAAAATAAAGATAAAACGAAATATATTACCTTGATACTGTTAACTTTGTATTCTGGTAATGGAGGATTGAATAGGGTTTCATGCTGCTCTTTAAGTACCCCCAAGGAAACCGTGACGATAACATGATCGGCTATGAATTCTCTTCCATCGTGTGTCGTTATCTTCGCGGTACCATCTTCGTCCGAGTAATCAATTTTTGTCACCTCTGCGTTCAAGACAGTTTTATTCATCACCGGTAATTCGTTAACCGGGTCTGGTATTTTTTGCTACAGAAAAACATTTATGTAACTGAACGTATTGGAAGACTAAAAAGAGAAACATTGAACAACGATCTATGCAAACCATCAGTATATCCAAAATTGTACTGTATCCTCGTTCTTTCCAATTTATTGTCTGGTCCCCATCGCAGATTTGATATTCCCCGTATGCTTGCGCCGCAATATCGTACCACGAGTCGGCGGGATCAAAACTCGTCTGCATCATATTGAAACTCCATAATAATTGTTCCTGCATAGTTTCATTTAATTCCGGAAATACCGCGAAATGTTCTTTCAACCTGAAACATATTCGTTTCATTGGGATGTACGATTTTGAATCTGAACTCAGGATAAGATAGTAATTGTTCAGATGATTATAATTTGAAAAGGGGGGCGTTAAAATCACACGATTATGATACATTTCTTTAAATCACGAGAAAATGGTACGAGTAGCATGAAAATTCGTACTTGGCTTCGAAACACTCGCCGACAGAACGTTGGCAAGCGACCGTTACATTTATTATGTCGTCTACAAGTTCAATGTAATTATCTGTAAGGTTCTTCATCATTGTAGAATCAACTAATTCACCCGAGGATGTGAATACTTCTTCTTTGTACGGATCCGAATGATCGGTCAGATTCATATTAGCTACGATTTCGTACACGACGTTTCCCTTTTCTCCGTGGATCCATTGCGCCCCCAAATCGACCAAGTAATCATCTGAAAATGCAAAAAGCGAATTTATTAATCGACGTAGCAGATTCGAACGGGTTTTCAGATAACGATACAGCGTCAAATTTAGACGGACTCACCGAATTTGACTGTATTCACACGACCACCGATCCTGTTTTCAGCTTCTAGGATTTGAACATTATGAAAACCGTTTAACATTAATTTGGTGGCTGCTGCGATACCAGAAGCTCCGCTACCAACAATTACGATCCTTGTATAACTCTCCGGTGCGGCACAGCTCGCAATGGTCTCGGTGATCAAGTAAAACAGGAAAATCCCGCGATAGAGCATCTTGAACGAGACCAACTGAACTCTGAACGCGAGCATTTTATCAATTGACAGATTGGATACCTAGTTTTATCCAATGACCCTTATATATACATTTTACACACTGATGTTTGTATGGCAATTTGTAATATCCGGAGCGCGCGATTGGCAGTAACATAATCGCTCAGAGTGCAAGATAATTAATTGCGTTAGTTAATTATGTAACTTCATGAGCTAATACGTTTTGCCCTATCGACTTTCGAAAGGATAATACGTATTTATTCAAATTTGTGTCCTTTCGTTTGCTTGAACACGATCATCCCTTATAGCTTGGAACTGGTTTTTCTAAGAAATATTTTTATATTTAAAAATAAACAAGTTTTTTGCTAATACATTGTTCACTACCGGAAAGTATCATTGTTCAAGCTTAATAAATTAAGAGAAAAACGCATATCAAAGTAAATACGCGAAAAATAATAATACATAATTGTCCGGAAAAACCCTGTTCGATAATGAAACATTGATTTGGATTTTTGTAATGTGTCAAATGTTTATCGACCAGTGGATAAACAAATGGAATTGCTGAATTCATCTCTGTAATCATCGTTAAACGACCGTCAAAAGATGAGAACTTGACACGTTATGAAAGCATACATTTTTACTATTAAATATCCTACTTCTGACGCAAATGATCTTTCTCTTTTTATATTCAGTATTTTAATCATCGAGCAGCGAAAGATCATTTGGACTGGTTACGTATACAGAGGAAATAATAAAGCGGCGGAGGGCACCCTCCTCCGTTTCGTGAGAGCAAAGCAAGGGTGGAAATTCTAAGAATTTCAGAGTGGGGATACTACTTATTCGATTCCTGTTCAACTAATTTATTCAGCGAATAATTGAATAACTTAAATCCCCACTGTGTATACTTGTTCCCACCATCTGACTGTTGTATACTTGCTGTTACCCTTGAACTTGGGCAGAAAAATTATTGCCCGGTGGGGCAACGTGGAGTGCTGAGTTATAGTAATGGCATTTCGAGTTACTCTTCTTACAATATTTATATTACTTAACATAACTTTGGCGTTACCCGCGAAAAATTCAGGTTAATTATATGTTATTTTAAAATTCATATACGTTACTTAATGTTGACATAATATTGTGAAAATTTATTCTTTTAAATATTGTCGATTGTAAATTAAAGTGGTGGTATAATGTCTTAAATGTTTCTTTGTTCCGATAGCAGTAAATATAATTAAATGTATTTTTAGGAAATTCAAAGAAGAAAAAAGTTAATCCGCCGAAATTAAGTGACAATATTGAAAACAATCCATTCCTTCAAGAGGACAACACAACTGTACCACCAGATTATCAAAGGAATCCTTTCTTGTCAAATATTTTACAACCAAAGTTATCATTGCCTAACAATGTCAGTCAAGAAAACAAATTTGCAAACAACAAGTCATCTAAGGCAACTGAAACTAGTAGTATCAATATTGCTATTTATATCAATAATCCTTTCTTACAAGGTGGATCTAGTGTAAATTATTCTATTAATGCAATTCCTTTAAATAATTCAGATGTTAATACAGTTATACCAAAAGATAAGTTATTAGTGGATGAGATTCCAAGTGAAACAAATTCATATACAGATATCAGAACAAAGTCAGAGATCAGTAAGTACCTTCAAGTAAAAAAATCATCAATAATTTTCAACATTAAGTATTCATAATTTTTGATGCATTAGAATGCGAAGAATATGGAAGACAATTTTTGAGTACAACAGAAATATTGACTTTGGTGGGTTCTAATGCAGAAGTGATCAAAATAAGTAACAAGAAATGTATGAACGCAAATCGACTTGTTGTTGGAGGTGTTGACGCTTCTCGCGGTGAATTTCCTCACATGGTTGCTCTAGGTACAAGAACCACAGAAGGAACATTTAGTTTCTCTTGTGGTGGTACTCTTATTGCTCCAGAATGGATACTTACTGCAGCACACTGCACTTATGGACCAAAGTATTATCTTACATTTTACTTATTACTGTAGATCTCTAAAAAATATATCTAATTTAAGAATGATATATGTCCATTTTGTTTAAGCAGAAGTCCAACAGATGTTCGTGTTGGATTTCACAATTTGAAAGATGATAAACATGGTATTACAACCACAATTAACAAGATAATGCGTCACCCAAGTTATAGACCTCCTGCAATGTATGCCGATATTGCTCTTATAAAATTAAATACCAATGTTACATTTAGTAAAGAAATAAGACCTGCCTGTTTATATCAACAATATGATACTGTACCTCCTCAAGCATGGGTCAGTGGCTGGGGTGTAACTGAATTTGGTAAGGCTAAAAAATATGATTAAATTCCGCTTAGGATATTTTTACATTGTAAACTTCAAATATTTGCAGGTGGAGAGGAGCAAAGTGACACACTGCAAAAGGCTCTTCTTGATATTGTTGATAACATAGCCTGTGCAATAAGACATAATCAGTCAATAGCAGTACCATATGGGATTACACCAAGTATGATCTGTGCAGGAGATCGTCGTGATGGTTGGACCAAAGACACTTGTCAAGGAGATTCTGGAGGCCCATTACAAATAATTCATCCTCAAAATTTCTGCCTGTTTCAAGTATTAGGTATCACCAGCTTTGGGCAAGGTTGCGCGGTTGTTGATACACCTGGAGTGTATACAAGGGTCTCCCATTATCTTAACTGGATCGAGGACATCGTATGGACGTAACTTTAACTGTATAATATCAATGTACACCTCGCTTTGCAAAGATAAAAAACTTTATTTTTCCAGTGATTGATTCGACTGATGTAAACATGGAAAGTTCAAAATATTTAATAATGTTACTTAACAATGTAAGTTGAACGTGACATACCTTTTTAGACGCTGATATAGCTGTTGTGACGTGTATATACATGTTTAGTATAATTAAGTGATATTGTAAATTTGAAAACTTGATGTGATTTTTACATTGATATTAAGTTATTCGAACTATGCAAAACGTGAATTGGATGTAATATTGTATTTTTGTAGTGATATAGTCTGACTAGAAGATTTTTAAATCTGTAAGAGTGATTTCACCATGACTGTAAAAAATAATGCTGATATTGCCGTTTCTTGGCGTTAGAATTATACTCAAGATATTTTTGTATCGTGAATAGTTTTCCATGTAAGACCGTCTCCATATGGACCATGATTTGATGGAAAAAATACATGCCACCAACTTCTATAAAAAGAATGATGATACTATGTTAATTTTACAATATTAAAAGATTCCCATTAATAATATGTAAATATTTAATTACCTGCCAGTAACACCTAAAAATAGTTTCCAGTTTTGTCTTGGTCCGAAGTTATATGGATTTTGATATATTTTACCAAGTGCTTTATACTTTTGCGTTTCAGTGCTGTTTATACGCGCCTCTATACTTGTTTCTCCTCTAGTGATAAGACCCGCGTGCCAACATGTCAAAGCACCTAATGCCGCAAAAGTAGCAACACAAATTAATGCTGCAAAAACTATAAGTCTTCGTTTCCATTCTTTAGTATTTGTATCTGCAGCTTGTTTAGCTATTTCAGCTAATTCTTCTTCACTTAAATGATCTAACGATTCGGTCTAAAATAAAGGTACCAAGTGTAGCGAGTCTATGTCAAAATTTATGTTAAAATCAACTGAATTTATAATACTAACCACAGGAATTATTTCGGAATTATTAATACGCACTGGATGGCCATCTAATTCTGGTTCTTGTGCTGGGAAAAATTCTTGATATGCTATTTCAACGCCAAACAGCATTATGAATAAAATACCAACTACTGTAAATGCCATGTATTGAAAAAAGTGTCTATGATTGTAATGGCCAACACAATTATTTAACCATGCTATATCTTTGTTCAGAAAATACATAAATATTTTATTAATATATTTATCATTTAATACATTATCCAAAAGGATACGACAGTGATGATCCATCTTCAGGATACATCTGTTACACACAGAACAATGATGTGTTCTGGGTGGTTTTGGTTTAATACACTTCTTACAAATACTCACAGCCTCTGGAATAAGACTACCTTGAGGTGGATAACCAGCTGGAACATTTACACCCATATAATAATGGAAGCATACATTTATCAGCAACCAGTTTCCAACCAGTAGAAGGATTATTGTCATAAATGGACTCTTTTCCCACCAATATGGTAGACCAATGTAATATGCAATGTACACGATACTTGCAGTTAAAAGGCTCACCATCACCACAAATACCTATGAACTGTCAAGCTTAGTAAATACATTGTGAACAATATAAAATTTTCTAATAAGAATATGTAATTATATAAATTGCAGACAATGTAACTAAAGTAATTACCGGCCCTAGACAAGCAGTAAAGTTTTCTACAAACCAAAACATTGGTTCCAAAAGTATATCACATATATAGCTCCAATTCAAAAAATCATTATAAAATAATGATTTTATAATAATTTGAAAATTCCACCATTTCTGTTTCAAATTAAGCCTGAAAATTGAAAAATGTTACCATAATGCATTCAAATATTAAACAGTTGTTTCTTTGCCCAGCAGCTTACCTAAGAATGTTTGGAGCATTGGTCAATGACCACTTTATTCGTACCATTATTATTTATAAGTAAATTTCACCTTCTACTATAAATTACAATTTCATTTCAAATAGACTTAAAAATAAAATTATAATTACAAATTTAACTATTGCAGTTATTGAATGGATAACTGTTAGGCGGTATACTGTACGACATCGCACTGAATATTTACACTTCCTTCATTAACTAGACATTTCTTTACAAAACATTAATTCCATACATCTCCTTATGCTTGTTAATTTATATTGAATGTTTGTAACAATTACTTTAATCGAACTTTAAATAGAACAAACAAACTATATTATATACCAATGTGTACAAGCACTTACTAGGACCAACACTATGTATACCGCAGTTCACCAGAGTCCATAACTGCGACGCGCAGGTTGGAAGATGGTGGGGGAACGCAGCGAGCTCTCCGCTAATCGCTTTTCACTTCGTTTGGAAGTATCGCCAATCAGGGCGAAGATGCGCACTGGAGAAGCGCAAAGAACGAAAACTGGTCTTTTCGCAGTTATGGACTCTGCTGAACTGCGGTATACATACATATGTACATCTTCGATAAAATGTACTTTCTTTTTACATTTTACAATTAGTTTACAAATGAAAATATGAAATACAATTTAATTGTAAAATTTTATTACCCATAAAAATTAATCCCAGATTCGACCACTGCGCCACTGGTTCTCTTAGTTTTGGAAAATCGGTCAATAAGTTGTCGAGTAGTTACCGACGTTTAAGAACAGATGGGGCAGAGGAAGAGTAAATTGTTTGTGTATTATTTTCAGAAATATGAGTTTGAAACCATTTAGAAATAGTGAAGGTGTAAATAAACCATTTCGTTCTCCATTCTGTAACACTCCTCAAAGTAACAGTATTAAAGATAATAATAACACACCAGACTTAAACACTTGTAGAATACCAGTGTAAGTAAAGATCAATGTTACACTTCTCCGAATTTATGTTGATATTTTTCTTCCATAATAGAAAATCTTCTGCATCGAAAAAACTGCTTTTTACTAACACACCTTCACCTAAAAAATTATGTGTAACTAAAGAAAACCATATAGATATTGAAGAAAACAAAGTATTATATCGTGAGGATTTGGAATCATTGAGAAAAAAAGTGCAGGAGAAACAAGAATCTATCAATAATTTGAAAAGAATATTGTCATACAAAAAAAAGGTAAAATAACATATTATATATAGAACTTATAATTATTGGTATTTAAATATTGTATTTATAATTAAAGAACAAAGCTGAAGATTTAAAAGTTGCTATTCAAAAATGGACAAACTGTTGCCAAATTGCTCTAAAAGACTATCAGAATGATTTACAAGAAAAAAGTGGACAGTCAGTGACCATCTCTGAAATCTTGTCTTCATTAAATATAAATCCTGATAAAGTTCATTTTTCCATTGATGATGATACATTTTATTAAAAACTTTTAACCATAAAACTGATTAAAAGTACTATTTATTTATTATTATACATTTTTAATTATATGCAAAATGCCAGTAAGTTGCAATTACCATCTATGTTTTCTGAATGGGAAATTTGGATTAAATAATTTTGGATCATCTATAAATTTAACATCCTTTGTCATATAACCCATTAAACCTACAATAAGAAATATAATAAAATGTTGTATATTAAATATTTTAAGCTTAATAAAAAGATATAAAGATTATTACCAGCATGTTGTGCTTTTATTATTTCTTGTTCCACCCTTTTTTGTTTGTGTTCGCATAATCCAGTTATATGTTTCCCATAAATCCTACCTGTATGACGACTTTGGAACTGAGACAGTAAACGCACATTTTTATAATCTGGTTCTATGTTATGTTTACATAAAATACATAATGTTTTTTCCTTCTTATACGGACTTTCAGAAAGAGTTGGCTGTAAAATACAATAAAGTGGTTTTTAATTAAAATAATTTGAATGTTATAATACCATTGGCGTGTTAATATTTATTATAATAGTGTTACCAAATCTGGATCTAATGATTCCGTCGATTCTTCAGGTAAAACACGTGCTTGGCTGCTCTTGTTACGAAACAGAAATGTAGGAATTCTGTTCGTTACGTTTTTTAAAGTTTGCGTAGTAATAAGTGCAGAAATCATATCGTACACTGAAAATCTTTACAAAAATTATAACATAACAAAGTCATAAGAAATATATTCAAAATAGAATGGACATTCGAGAGATCACACGACTTTAATAGAAACAGGACATAACATAATATATGAATTCTTGTATGGCACACTAGATGGCAAAGTGATCCGTGTAAAAAGTCAATTTTCTTTCTACAAAACAATAATCAATGGTTTATGTCACTAAACGGATTCTGTTACAGGATCCTCGGCCACTCTTTTTCCACGAGGCGGAGGCGAGAGTCGTGCTTTTCAAGGTTTTACTAGCTAAATACTTTAGGCTAATATAATTATTACATAGAAATTATCATTGATTGGGTGGTGTGTACAGGTGAAGTGATAGAAACAAGATGTGGCCCTCAACGTTGGAAGTAGCCAAAATGAATCCGTTTGGAACGCCGTACATGACAGCTAAATGTCAGCAGGGACAGTACGACCTTACTCAAGCACTCGTTAAAAATCGTCACATTGCCGCTGCCTCGGTCCAATCAGGTGGTCAGTAAGATTATTTTTTCCATCAAAATCAGTCAATTACTATTCATTTATAATTTCCATGTCAAACTATTTTTTACGTTGATCATTCCTATAAAATAATTTTTCATTGACATCTATGTATATGACAGAGATAAATCTTAAATTAAAGAAAGTTTCATCCTACGAACATTATTACATCATTTAAATACTGATAATTATATATAATTTGAAGTTCAGGTTCCCATAAAATGATTCATAAATCTTTAACTTTAAATTAATTAGTAAATTTGGAAACTCGTTGCATTCATTATTTCTTGATTAGCAGGCTTATTATTATAATATAATTTCTATGGTTTGAAAATTGGTAAATTATGTAACTAATAAATATAACCACATGGGCGAGTGGCATTATACATTTGTATATATTGTTTTATCTATTTTTAGGCGTGTCCTTTAAAGTCATCCGTATACTTTACTGAATAAATCAATTTGTTCTGTAAAATATTATGAAGTAATGCAAAGATAAATCTGTAATCTTCAGTTATATTCTTTGTATAACACGGAAGATTGCATAAGGAGCAGCCATTTTGTCGAAAATGCGCGTGCAGATATCATCCTCATAGCCTTGGTTGACATTCGAATAAAAATGTTACGATGGCCGCGACCGAGACAATTAAAGATATCTTGGTGTACTTGAAAAGTTTATTATTGGCTCGTACCAAGGTAGTAAGATCGTTGATGCGAATTTTGAAATTTTGCCAGAGTTAAATTCCGCACGCGCTTTCGAACAGCTGATCAATAGTATATACTTCGTTTGAACAGTTAAATAAGCGTTATTTTAACATAATAAAATTATCATATTAACTACGTTGATAGCATGCATTGGCGTAAGCAGGTAGGAGCCAAGGTGGATCTACCCCCTCCTCAACTATGGACCAGTAGCCCCCCTCACTATTCTTCAATTTTAAGATTCTATAATTTAAACATTTCAAAATTTCTAAAGAACCTGGCCTGCCTTAAAGAAATAATCCTAATTATATGAATGATAATTTTAATGACTTACATATTACTTGTAGTAATGAATGTTTTCTTTTTTTAATACAGACAGCTGTGAATTTGGATCCAATCATTATTTCATGTTATGTGGTTTGGGAGGTATTTTATCATGTGGTATTACACATACCATGGTAACTCCCTTGGACTTAGTAAAATGTCGAATCCAAGTAGATCCTGCAAAGTACAAATCAGTCTTCAATGGTTTTCGAGTAAGTAACAAATTTGGTTTTAATATAACATCCAAACATAGAATAAATACTTTAAATTTAATTATTTTATAGGTGACTCTGGCTGAAGATGGAGCTCGCGGTTTAGTAAAAGGTTGGGCTCCAACATTCTTTGGTTATTCCATTCAAGGAATGTTCAAGTTTGGTCTTTATGAAGTTTTCAAAGTATATTATTCGGCTCTTATCGGAGAAGAAATGTCGTACGAATATAGAACAACTTTGTATCTAATTTCTTCTGCATCCGCCGAATTTTTCGCCGATATTGGTCTAGCTCCTCTTGAAGCTGCTAAAGTAATTATCTATTATTTCTACATATGTATTTTTTTGAAAAACAAAAATAGTTAAATCAATACTATCCCTATTATAACTTGAAAAAATTAACGGATACTACATTTGTATTATCTGTGCATTCCTGTGACCCCTACACCAAAAACAAGATAGAATTGTTCTTTTGTTCCTCTGCATTGATCCTCATCTTTGCCTCGTCCTGTCCAATATTATACATATTGTAAGTTTGTTTAAATAGTTATTGATTTAAATACTGTGCTGTCTATGTTAAATCGTGTAAATTTTCATGCACGAAATACGTATTTTATTTGTACAGGTCAGGATTCAAACTATGCCAGGATACGCGAATAATTTGAGACAAGCTTTTCCAAAGATGTACGGTGACGAAGGCCTTGGTTGCTTTTACAGAGGGCTGGTACCTTTGTGGCTTCGTCAAATTCCATACACAATGATGAAGTTCGCTTGCTTCGAACGTACACTTGAACTTTTGTATAAGTACGTAGTTCCTAAACCAAGACAAGAATGTACAAAAGGTGAACAGTTGGTTGTCACCTTTGCCGCAGGATATATTGCCGGTGTATTTTGTGCGATTGTGTCTCATCCTGCTGATTCTGTGAGTATATTTTCTCCTATTTCTATTTAACATTAAACATTTCTATTTCTGTCCCCATTTATTAATCGTTATGCATTTTATGTTGCTTCAGGTTGTATCAAAATTGAATCAAGAAAGAGGAGCATCAGCTATAGATGTTCTGAAAAAGCTTGGTATGACTGGGGTATGGAAGGGTCTTGGTCCTCGAATCGTTATGATTGGTACATTAACGGGAGCGCAGTGGTTCATTTATGATGCTGTTAAAGTATGGCTTCGTATGCCTCGTCCACCACCACCAGAAATGCCGGAATCCCTGAAGAAGAAATATGGATTAGCTTAATTATCAAGCACCAAAAGTATTTTTAATTAAATTGTGAAACGATTACAGTTAGAGAGAAAGGCATAGATAAATTAATTCTTTACAGTACATTGTCGAACAATGTTTTGCCATACAATTTGAGTATTTATTCTGTAATACAGAGATCAGTGCAAGTTCTCACTGCCCCAGGATTAGACGTCACTATGTGCTACATACATGAATTATAGTAATTTGCTACCAATTCTGTGATTACAAAAGGGGTAGCACATTTAAAGAAAAATTTAATTAGTGACAGTAAGTTACCTGCTGTAACCAAACTGTTACTTTGTAAATAGAGTGATCACCATAAATAAATGATCTGTGGTTACTCAATTTATAATTGTATTTCTTTCTTATTACCTGCCTACAACTTTCATTTTCATCATACTTTGTTCAAACATTCTTTTCATCTTGTAATTATTTTTAAAAAGCGAAATATAGACATTCTCAGCATCTTAATATGAATAATAAAATAAACACCAAATCAATTTTTCCCCTACTGTGTTTGCTAGATGTACAGTAGTCTTTCATGGCGGGTACTATACATTTGAGAAATTTGAAAATTTGACATTTTCTTAAAAACCTAACCTTTACTTAAGGACGCATGCGCTTCTGAACCATGCTTTAATGCTATTTTTTTTAATGGTCGTACCGTCACATAATGTTGAATGTGTGTTGAAGTAGAAATTTTTAATGGGAAATAATTCAATCGTGTAATCAAACTAATACGCGAAGTTGAATTGACGTAGTAATTGTTCTTACAGTTTCTTAAAGTAATGGCTGGTATTGTTCCATTGTCTGGTAGATCTGGCAGAAAACAATGGACACTACACGGTAATATAAAGTTTTACTTACTACCTTATTTGTTGTAATGATTTACAGTTTTAATTTATTTTACTATTCATATTGTTACCTATACATTTAGGTAGAATAATCACAATTTTGTAATTGATGACAAGTAATATGTACGATTGCTAGAAGAATATTACGAATCACGAAAAATATCAATTGTTTTGCTGTTTTATGAAAACGCTAAGCACCTGAAGGAAATGAAAAGTGATTAATGATATAATTTTGGCCATTGCCATTTCAATAATTACCTAATTTTAGATGGACCACGAGGTTCTCTTAGAAGATTACGGTCTCAGCTGGCTGAAGATGGCTGTCCTGAATCTCAAGTAGTTTTAGCTAAACAACTTTTGGAAGAAAGATGTGGTAATAGTTTTCATTTCCATCTAAGCATTCATAAAGGTTTACATAAATTAATTGTATATGCTTAGACCTAGATGTTGATAAAGAAGAAAATGCAAAATTAGGTGTATATTGGCTAACAAAAGCTTCAGAACAAGGAAACTTGGAAGCAACAGACATTCTTAGAAAATGCTTAGCTACTGGTCGTGGTATTACAGAACATAATTATTATGATGTAAAAAATTGCCTGGATATGACTCAAGATGAAAAACTAGCCAGAAGAGCAGCCAGAGAAATGTTTACTAGGTATAAAAAATTAAAATAATAAATTAATGAAATAATACTGGTATATGCTTATCTGTAGTTACTTTGGTATTGCATAGTCTTTCAAATGGTGAAGATTTTATCACAACAGAGCAGCTACAAAGACGTATGAGGGATTTAGGATCAAATTCATCTAATGCAAGTTATTCTGGTTCCCATAATATCTTGCACAGTAACTCACAAAAGGATCTGAACGACTCTCTAAATGATAAGTTTCCCAAAAATGGTCTTCCTGAAGGTTCAGTACCTAAAAAAGATGAAGAAAAAGAAAATGATGTCCATGGTAAGAGATTATATATAATTTCTCTCACTTTTTTTGAGTTTAAAAATATCGATTTATATTTCGAATTTATAGATTGGATGGATCACAGAGGAGAGAAACTCACAGAAGCAGCTCTGGTTTCTGCTGCTGCTAGTTATGCTCGCGGTATGCTTCCAATTGTTTCACATGCTCTGTGTATGGTAGACTCATCTCAAATGGTATTAGATACTATACCGTTACTACAAAGGCCTCTTATGCATCCTTTTGCATCTCTAAAACGTCTTTATATTTGGTTGATAGAAACGTTAGGTCAAAGAGGAATGTCGATTAAAAAAATTCTTTTTACATCGAATGTACATATATTGTTGTTACTTTTACTATATTCGTTGTTTGGCACAGAAAGCCTCATACTTTTTATACCAATGGCTCTATACTATTTATCTTTCGTAGTGATGGTTATCGCTACTTTTCAAATGTTACAACGAAAACGCGAATTTAATAATTTCCGCGTTTGGTCTGGTTTGTTTCTCAGTTACTCCGGTGGTAATTTAAATCCTGAAGAAGCAGAATACCAATTTTGTTGCAATAATCTGAAACCCTATGGTCATTTCTTCCTTGCTTTACTTTTAAATTTAATGACCTATCCCATCATAGCGCATCAGTGGACACCACAGTCAGAATTTACCATCATAGCGGTCGCGTTAACGTTAGTGACGCTGTTGAATTTCGTGTGGAAAGATTCATCTAAGGTACCAGATCTTTTAGCTCTGTTTAGTTTCGGTGTTCATGTTCTTGCAAAATATCCATACGAAACCGATATCGTAGTCGCACAGGGCTGGAGATTCTTAGACATAAGAGTACCAACGTTTGCTTCTTACGTCGTCGGTAATGGTATTGAATTTTGTTTAAATTTTCGTGCCGTGTTCTATCTTTTAATTCCAGCGGTGTTTGCAAAAATGGCTGCTAGGGATAATTGGCGAGGAACTTATCAAACGTTAATACCTCATTGCGTTAGTTTAAGTTGGTGGCAAATAGCGATATTTAGTTCTCAAGGTGCAACATGGTATGGCTTAATTAGAGGTGCTCTCGCTTTAGTCGGTATGGTACTCTTTTTGCCACTCGCTGGTTTGGCGTCTGTTATTTTACCAATTGTTGCTGCTGCCAAGTATTTATCGGAAAGCGATTTAGCAATGAGGATAGCTGTGACCGCTTTATTGGGAGGAATGCCATTTCTTGCCTCGTGGTATGTAAAGAAAACTCGAGCTCCAAAATTCAATTGGATCATCACTGTTGTCCAGGTACTTAAATACAATTGCTTTAAAAACTGATTTAATAAAATCGTAATTATCACACGAATGTTGCAGTTATTCATGGGTGTCGGCGCTGGTATGTTTTTATCCTGGCCATTGATAATGGAGTATAAACAAGAATCTGATGCCTATGAAGTTATTTCTACCCTTTCATGGGAACAGTATCAGAACCATTGTCATCAACCTGCATGGGAAGAATTATCATCCAAGGCCCAGGTGCAAATTCAGTGTGCGGATTTAGAAGGAATATTTATCTCATGGGAAGGTTACGTAACGAATATTAAATTAAAATCGATAAAAAATAATATTGCAGTGATATTTGATAAACTACCTGAGAACGTTAGAAACACAGTCAGTTGTACGTACGGCGAGCCGTATTTAAACTCTTGCGAATCGAGCGATCAGGTACGACAGGAAAATTGTAAACAGTTTGCGCGGATTCAGAAACGGAAAAATAAATGTCATTTCCCCGCGTGGAATCGGTATGAATTTGAAATTACGGTGAAAATGAAAAGCGGTATGTGGGGCAACAATGCGGAGATTCTCTTAATAGCGGATCATTCTTTTACCAATTTTAGTTTGAACATATATCCAGGCGATAAGATTTGGTTTTCTGGTACACTGTTAAACAGTGGGTTAGAAGAAGAGTCTTTACTCGGTGGTTCAGAACCTCACATTGGATTAGAGGAAATTGGTTGCCTCGCTTGTCATTCTACCCATTTAAAATCTCAGAAACGCTATAATTATCATATAACGTTCAGTTCGACGTTAAGTGATCTTTATTTAGGCGTGAAAACTGTTTTAAATTTTCTGTTCAATCCTATCGTGATGTTCAAATAATCATGTTCTACTAGATCCACTGTGCTCTATCGCAGCGTTATTTTGTATCCATTATGATAAACTCATTTCCAACGAGATAAAACTCGATAATAATCTTGATTCTTGTTTCAAGGTTTTCTAAACTTTTTCAAATGTACTTATTGAAAGATACCAATAAGAATTTATAAAAAAAGAGAATTAATGTAACAAGAAACAAAATTAGAACAAAGTATGCCAAGAAGAAAGAATGAATGAACAGTTTTGTAGATTTTAGATATCAGTATTTTCTGCAATGAGAAGGCATTTAGTTGTTTCTTTTTTTTTTTTTTTTATCTATTCACCTAGATCTGTCTATAAAAAAACTACATTTTGATGTTACCATCACCTCAGGCATTAGAATTTCATTAAAAACTCGTGAAATACCTACGTCAAAGAGTACACTCATATATGTATATTTTAAGATCGATATATTTTCGTAAGTGTTACTGCCAGTAATAGAGATATATGCGCTTAATATTTTTCTATTACGTTTTCAAAAAGTCGAAAGAGTTGGAACTTTTTCGATTTCATTTTAACTCAATAGTAAAACACTAAACGGTTTTTGTATTACGAGATTTTAATGAGAAACATCATTCACATCAAAATAACTAGTTCGATTAACGTTTAAGAGTAATGTATGTACAACGAATGTGATGTGCGTACCTACGATTATTAATGTTTAGTTTCTTAGAATCTGGTACTATACCTCTAAAACGTTGAAATATCTTTACTCGTGTAAATGGTATGCGAATATTATATGTATTCCAAGTAGTAGTAAAGGTATATTATGTACATGTATGTCGTGTAGGAGTCGAAGATTATTGTTAAATCGATGTTAAGTGTCTAGACGTTTAAAAACATAAACAATTAAAGGAGTCATAACTGTCTAAAGTAACAATGACAGTCACTTTATACATCATATCGGGACAATAGTAAAAATTATAGCAAAAACAAAAGACAACTATAGATGTGCCTTGATGTTTTCTGTTCAAATAAATGTATATTTTAGAAAGTAAAAATATTGTTACCCTAAAGTGCATTGTTGAAAATCTTATGAAGTTACAATGAATGTTGTTTATGTTTTTTCGAAGACAATTATTTTTTTTTTTCTTACACAATTCAATACATATTTATTTTTATATTTGGCAACAACTGACATACATGATTTTCATAAATAATAACATTACGTTTCTTAACAATTATTTATTTCAAGAGTTTGGTTCCCTTTATATTTTGTATAAAAAAGAGTTGTACAGTACGAAAACACTCTACAACTATTTCATATTAGTAATGTTCAGTTCGTTTATGTACAAATATAAAACCTACATCAATAAAGTCTTTTCTATCATACCAAATCCACAGATATAAAGATAAGTTAAAGTCAGAAATTATTTATCGTTTCTACCGAATACGTTTGTTAAATTAAATATTTAACCCGCGTGTGATGTTTCACTAAAATGGTTTAAATTTTAGAATTCGTATAAATAACTTATTCCTCTATCATAATTATTACCACCATCCTCGTTGTAAAGTGATTTGCACATAAATTTTAAACCCCAGCGTGAATGTATAATTAATGTTTCAGTTACATAATTTACCTATTGCAAATGTTAGAAACATACTAACAATCCTTTTCTATTCTTTATGGAAATAATTTAACTTATTTTTATAGAATCCGTTGCAGCAACTTAAGAACACGGAAACTTTGGTAAAGGAACTCTGTACTATGCTTGATAAACATTATTAGGACCAGAGCAGCAAATGGCATAATTCGACGTATTATACGACTACCACAACAATTTATACTAATAATCGTATCATTATCTGCTGATATATGTATTTGTTTGTCTTAGAAAATACTTCTTCAATATCATTTTCTCATGAGTTGAGACAATGATTGCCATATTAATATTATATATCAATATTCAAAGAAACAGTCTTATGAACACTATAATTACACCTTATTTTTTATAGAAAGAACACCCGATATAAACGAGAAATTCAAAAGCAAAACAGTTTATAGAATACCTGTATTTAGTAAAAACGTTTCCTACTATTTTCCTGATGCTTTTGATACCACATAATTCCTATTACAACACATGCGATTAACGCAAGTGCGCATACAAGCATTAAGAGGAAAAACATTATTTTGCTTAAGGCAGATTGCTTTGGATCATCAATATGTTCTGTAAAAAAAAAACATAAAATTGTTTCAATAAACGAGCGAATCTATTACTGTTTGTTATACTTTACCTCTAGGAGCATCAAAATACGTAGCTGACGGTAAAATCTTCGACCTATCTTCCTGATCTTTTGGCTAAAAGAAAAAAAGCAAATACTATTTTAACTAGCGCTAAATATTAAAAAATATAAAACAGTAAGTAATAGTACATACATCATCTGGCAAGTCTAACTGAAATAAACGAATCGATAATACATCGTGATTATCGGATAAATCTCCTGTTGTTGCGGAAATTCCGAAAAAATAACCCGTGGGTAGCTTTATGTCTTTTACAGAGAAACACTCTTTCCATGCAGCCTTATTTGCAAAGTCTGTGGAAACTGTATTAAAAATAATCTGTTAAGAATCTGTCTACCAAAAGACTTGTATAATGTTATGCCTATCTACTTGTATAGTATTGTCCTACTCCATGCTCTGTTTAAATGATAACAAAGCAAAAACTATGTACTATTTGAAATAGAACTCTTAAACAGAGAGCACTGAAGCAGATAAAATTTTTTAATGGAATGTGAAATGAACAAAACTGAACATGATATATAATGAAAAGGTGGAAAAATACCACTTGTTGAAGTGGAAGCACTCCATGATGTAAGCCAGGAGGCCTCAGGGTAAGACCTTACTGTAATGTTGATTTGTACAATACCACATAAAATAATATAATATATAGAAAGCATAGCTATGAGCGACATTATTTGCTTATTATATTAATTACATGAATTTGATACTTATCTTGAAACAACAATTATTAAACTTGAACGAGCCAAAACTCACTTGTAACAATATTTAGTATTTAAATACTTTAACTCCATGTACAACAGCATTACATACAATTGTATAACAACATCTTTTCCATGCTTTAAACACACGTATTATATTTGTACAGACTTACCAGTCAATGTATCTCTTTCATATCGTACAGCTATATGTGTATCATGTTCTAAATTTCTAAAGTTTGCTTCACAACCTGCAAGTTGTGTATGTGTTCCATCACGGTCATGATCATAATGCAAAGAACCATTATTGACCATAGCAGAAATATAAGGATGTTGATGCTATAAGACCCAAACAAATTGTCACACTTTGTTATTTCTATCTTCTAACATAATTATAGTTTATAATAAACTGTTTGATGCATACATTGTGAGGACCATTGTGATTACTGTAGGTATCTAAAATTATAGCTAATCCTTGGAAGTAATCCTGATTTCCAAATACAGGACCAGATTTCATTCTCTCTTTTGCATACCAAATAACAAAACCATCGCCAAATAAGTCCCTTCCTTTTCCATGGACTTTAAAGTGAACTTGAAGCTCCCAATTTCTTACATAACATGGCTAAACAAATAAGTGGAATTATGCTTCAATTGGATCTAAACTGAATTACATCAAGCTAAAACTTACAACAGTATTCCATATGGCACCCTGTTTACTTTGTAGATCTGGCGTTAATCTTATATAGTTATTTGTTATCATTGTACTACCCATGAAATCCCAATAAGGTATCGTCATTGCAGACCCTAAGCATAAAAGTATTCACAGAATGTATGTAAAATATTTGAATCCTGTTATAATGTATTGTTGAATTATAACTAAACGTAACAAAAACTTGCATTTTAAATCAAATTAACCTTAAATTTACATTATTTTCAAGCATTTTTCTTTTGAAAGCTAATGTACATTGATTTAGTTTGACTAGAAGAATTTATAAGTTATAACATTCCAGAATTATCAAATGTAACTTCCGTAAAATCATACGAAATTTACAAACCTTGATACGGTCTGATTAAAGAATGTTCTCGTTTCATATAATCTTTTGTATTCCATTCTGCTGTCACTAATTCGAGAACACTTGCAATCAATATCCAACACGATATCACATTCATTTTAAATATTTCATGTGTCTACTACAATATCACTTTAAACATCAAATTTAAAATTTCATCCGAAGACGATTACAACGCGTAATTCATAAAAATTACTGCCGACACTGTCGTCATATTGCCCCTGAAATTCTGAATTAAGTTACCAAGGGAATTTAGCCAACAGAAAGCATCAAAATATCCCTTTAAATTCGCGACAAGCGACAAGAATTTGTCTTTTGAATGCACAAATATGTTATACAGAATATTATAAAGTAGCATGCATATTTATCAGTTATGTTTAAACAATAACGCTAAAAATCAGTGTAATTTTGAATTACACGGTTTTATAAAACAACGCAACAGCGACTGCAGCGCCTCGATGCATTTTAGTTTTCTTTGTCATATTGTCAACGGAATTTACCGTTACTACTGACTATGTTACATACTACCGGAAGAATAAAAGCACAGATAGTAAGTGTGTAACTACGCTGGCGTACGGCGTTGACATTTTTTTTTGGTGAATGAGTATGTTTATCGAACCAGTTACGTAAAAATCTGTATCCAATTATAAAGTTCAATACAGAATTAGTCATTTTGGAAGTAGCGATAAGTTTGCAGGAGTTGTCGAGTGTTTGAACTAATCTCGAAACGTGCGTTTACCATCTCGAAATCAAGCGGCACATTACATGGCGTCCTATGAGATTCGTATACGATTTGCTTTCTATACAGTTACATTCTTGGCAGTTGGTGTTTAGTTAACGGACACGGAATGCGAATGGCTGAAGAGAAGGAAATAGAGAAATAGAGAAATAGAAAAAAAGAAGAAGAGAACGGTCGAATACGTATATCTGTAGGTAAAAGAGGAAGCAAGGTACAGATAAATTACTCGTTCTTCCGTAACTAAACGGCGGGGGCTTGTTGCGTTTACGTGGGGGCGAATACAGCTAAGAAAAAGGGCGTGGAAAGATTAAACGAGTTAATAGGCAGAACGTATACACATACGCTAAAGACACTATGGGTAAGACGCCAAAGAAGGCGGCCCCTGGGGGCGATGAGAGGAATTTGAACAATTGGAGAGTCAAGGCAACGACCGATTCTTCTGAAACTAGCTTGCCCAAGAGACAGCGCGAATCCGAGATTTCGAACAGGTTTGTAAAACCAATCAGCCAAATGAAGAGCAAGTTTATCCACAGTTTCTCTCTACAGTTTATCATTCGTTTTTTCTTCAGTCGACTTCACCTAAATTCGCCGCGACTAATCTCCCGGTTAGTCTTTTATACGTCGCGTTGCGGTCAGATATCTGTCTTCCATCGCGTAGAACTTTTTTTCTTTTAAATACTCGAGGATAAAGCGGGGCAAATGTCATTCAATTTTTGGTGCAAGATAACCACTGATATTTTTCGAAGTTCATTCTGTACAGATCGTGAACGCTTTTCATTCTGCCGCAATATTTTCTTCGAGCATTAACAAGATTTTCTGGAAGGAGTAATTTAATACGGATGGGCAAACAATAGTCGGTATATAAATTAAAAACATATACACAGATGAGAAACTTTGGTTTAGCTGCTTTGTCAAGGATTTATTTTTAAATTAGTACCTCTCATCACCTCCGGTATCTCTTACTCTGTGGATATTAGGTATAAACATTTTCATGATATTCTTCCAAGGATTTTGAGCATTTGAATATTTTCGTTTCAGATCTAAATTGAGTACTGTACAGAAAAAAATACCTCCTGGACAAAGAAAAAACTTCAAAGTAAGTTTGATAATTTTTAAAAGTATTTTTCATCAATTCCCTGTATGTACTTGCACAGTATTTGAAATAACATATCTGTTGTAGAGTGTAGCATCAAAATCTGAGGAGAATCAGTCTACAAAACAGAAAAGCAAACTGCCTGGCCCATCCAAAGAAAAGAAACTAACTGTTCCTGGTAAAAGCGTGGAATTGAAGGTCCCAAAAACCATGCAACCAGAATCAGAGGAAACAGAGGCAAAGCTTAATCCAACCATAGAAACGGAAAACGAGAAGAAAGAGGATTCTGTGGATAATCAAGAATCTGCCAAAGAGTGTATTGATCATGCTCCTTCAAAGGAACAAGAGCCTGTTTCTAAGGAAAAAGAAGAAGACTCGACGGATAAGGAAACTATCGTTGAAAAAGAGCAGACGGTATGCGTTAACGCAAACAATGTAGACAAAAGTAAAGAAGTCGAGGATGCCGATGAGAGCGATTTAAAATTGAGCCTCGAGGTCGAGGATACTTTAAAAGTACAGGAAGACAAGCCAAACGATAAAGATATAAAAGACGAGCACACAGAAGAATGTTCTCCACCATCGAAGAACGATGCGATTGATAAAGAAGACTTGCAGAGCGAATCTCAAACAGACACAGAGAGTTATTCGGTTTTAGAATCAACGACATCGGAAGTATCCGAGGTATCTGAAATCGCGTCTCAAAATGATCCTGAGAAAGAGAAGAGGGAGAAAATCGTTAAGGATACAACTAAGGATACCACCAAGGATCTCACCAAGGATACTTCGTTCGTTTCGTACGATCCTTCGATAATGCTGAAGGATGTACAAATTAAACTAAACGATTGCTTAAAGGAGAACTCAAAATTATTTGATACGAGTACCATCGAGCACAGTTCCCCGAGTCAGCCGTCGAAGGAGTCTTTTGGAAAAACACTGAGAAGCATTTCTGGTAGACGTTCCTTGAACAGAATGCGTTTCGTTACGATGCGAGAGCACAGATACTCCCCTAATGATTCACTGTTTGTTAACACGTCCACCGCGTCCATGCCAACGGATGATACGTCGGATTTTAAGATTCTACGTTACAGCACTGGTTTATCAGATGTTCTGTCCACGACTAACGGTAGCCCGACTGAAAGAAAACGCAAACACGATACCGAAGATTGGAATACCATGAAAAAACAGAGAACAGAAAGCGAGCAAAGTTTACTGCATACTTCTATCGACCTTCTGAAAGGCTTACGCAGGCCAATACAAGTATCTACTCCAGTTTCGGAGCTTAAGTTCCAGTCTGGAAAACTGAATCTGGGAAACGAGCAAGAGTCTAAGGAAGCCAACGAGGCTACGAAGAAGTGGTGCGCCATCATGTAAATCACTATCGAATCACACACGATTTTCATCTACAAAACAGAGTTCTTATATATTTTTGCACACGAGGAAAACCGTTCGTGTGATATCACGCGCTCCAACGAACGAAAACCCAAGTAAAAAGCGTTCATTTTAAACTACTGGTTGGTATTCGTTAATGCGGGTCTCTGTTTCGTTGGATTTTCGGGAACGTATCAATGGCATTTGTAACATTTTTCAACACATTTCTATTCTTATACGACACATACCGTGCAATTTCATACTACACAGAGGCTCACGAAAATAAGCATTGTACTCTTGATCTGTTCAAAGTTTTTAAACTCTTGACTATGCCTAGAATATTATACACTGTATCTGATAGTTGTCAGTAGCGATTGAGTTTATTTTATACGAAATGTAATTATAGAGAGAGCGTAACGACGATAGAAACCACTTTGTTTAATCGATAAGGTACACGTTTCATTCAATCACTCGGTAGAGTTTATGATTACCCGTTTGATCGTTCACTCGACGGGCTATGCTTTTCAAATATTCTAGTAATCAGTTCAAATTACCGAGCTCGAGAACAAATTACTTTTACTTTTTAATTTATATCGTTTGCATTTGTCTGGAATACGTTGCAAGGAGGAATACTTCTGATATTTATAAGGTACCTATGTTATTTTCTTGCTGACGCAACGTAAACCTTAGTCCTTTAGCATATTTTTTACAGTAGATTATAAATTTATGTTTCAGTATACTTAGACAAATCAGAACTACGAGGGTATTGTAAAGATGATGTTTACCCTATGCGATTGTTTGCCAACACATCTTTTATGTTGAAAAGCATTTAATACCGTCGGAGAAGTAACTCTTGTATATTGTTAAATTATACACAACAATTACTGTGAACACGTTTGCATTTTTGGTAGTTGAAACATTTACCTCTTTATCTATCTGATTCTACAGAGATGTCTGTAGGTGTTTTTTAAGGACTGACAATACGTTTCTTAGCGGCGATGACCTGGAAAGAGGTATTCACACTGTTCGTAACAGTATTTATGTAGGGTAAATCGTTACGAAGTAGCTTGTATTATCTACGGTGTCCCGTAACACGAACTACTTGGTAGTGCTTCGTGAACCGTTCATAGTTTGTCCTCGTTTTTCATTTGTATAAGTAAGTCTGTTTCCTGGCGATCTCTGTATCTACTTACCTTCGCAAAGTATGTAATGTATCTATGACACGACTACCTTGTATCTCAATGAAATATGTTTCTTAATAGGTTTAAGTTAATTGAACGTTCACTCTAGAAAAACAGGTTTATCGCGAAGGTAAACGGAGGTAAAAGACCTCTATTTTTGAAGTAGTTTTCAAAGTGATACGGGACACCATGCGTATCTAACAGTTTGTAACATTGAACGACTAAACGCGGTCTACCGATAAAATTCAATGTTCAGAGCTCATTATACCAAACGTTTTTCTTTTACTTTTGAAACTCGAATTAAAATTAAGAATTTAGAGTTGATACACAGGTTTCACGGTAGACGGTTCGACGCGATTTCGAAAGAAATCCCGTACGATTGCCAAATTAGTCGCACTCGACGTCTATCGTAAGGGAGAAAAATCAAAGTGTATTTATTAAGCTAGATGTACATACAATAGAAAGCTCGACGAATCTGTCGAGTGATTTCACCCTCGCGTTGTTCTACTCGATTCACTGTTTATTTTTACCAAGCTGCGTTTTAATCTCTCCCAGGGCGTTTCTGCTCGACTAGGATTCATCATCCAAGTTAAACGTTACCCTCTCGTGTACTTTTGTACTTGTGACAAGCGGAGAGAGAGAGAGAGACAGTTGAAACGATGTATGAATTATGTATATAGAAAAAGATTTATAATAAATCCTTTGAAATTCAAAGAAACTGAACATTTCTTTTCCTAAAAGAACAGTTCAACCGAAAGGTTTCGTTATGAAAAGAGAAACGACGGTCCTCATCGTACGGTAACGAGGGTGACAGTATTTCTCGGGTTCTAGTATTAGAAAAGAGGAAAGTACTTGGAGGTACGTGTCATGAATTTGGACAGGTCGACCGAGGAGGAGTTTCATCGTTTTCGTCGCTATCGTCCTGGAACACCGATACTTCCGGGCCATCAATGGCTACACACGTCGGACATAAAGTTGCACGAGTTTCGTTGCTGTTGTTACGACTTCCTTTACGGAAATATCTGGTTGAACGAAAAGTTTCCAAAGAGCTTTCGTTACTTCTAACATAAAATTTCGAGGGAAAAAATATGGGGTTGCGTTAGAGCTAATTATCGTACGACTTCCACGTTCCAAGGAGGTCGTTCGAACAGACTTTCATGACATGGTATTTTGTTTATCTCGATTTACATCGCGAATCTGAAGACAGCTTGGATTCCTTCCGGGACGAGTTTAGCTTCCCTACACGGTATTAAAAAAATCTCATTGCTCCGTTGAAGTTAAAGCCGTATCTCGGAACAGTAAAGAGCGCGACTCGACGCGACACGACGCGTTTCTGTTACATAAGGCCGAGTGTAAATGTAATTCCGGTTTCCCTTGGGAAATTCAAGACTGCGACGAGGCACGCGTGGAAATTGGAGCAGCCAATGGCGTAGACTGCATATATAATACAATCTCTACGGTTTCTCTTACTTTGTTCCTATACCTCAACTTTGCCTCCGCACCGTTTCAGTTCGTAGATAATTCTTACGTTACTCGAAATCTCGCACGTTTCATCGATTTACGTCTAACTTGGGAAAGATCGCTCTATTTTTCGCGAATTTTATCGCGCATTACACCTGGCACATTTAACGAGCCGATGAAATTTCAGAGGGTTTTATTACCTTAAATAGCGTGTATTTACGATCGGTTATTCGATACAAGGATAATCGAGGCGAATCTTACGATAAACACTTGATTCAACTTAAAAATTATAGGACGAGATATTTTAGATAATTAAAATCTAAATCAGAATACTTTGCTTGATTCAATAGTGAACTCGATGGAGAGCTAAATTAGATGAAAAAGCACCTGTCGATTCCTATAGAAAATTTACCTGTTTGACAAAGTGTCGCGATCAGGAATAGAGTTCGCGACACTTTGCCAGAGGATATCGCCTCTGAATAATTGATCGAGCCCTGAAAACGTCAAATAGTCAAAACGACAGCCTTGTGAAGGCAAGGTCCCTGGCAGTCTTCTCTGAGACCAGGCCATAAGACCGCCTTGATCCTGGTACCGTTGGGATCCGGCGAGGCGTGATGTCTCACGTGCACTTCACGTCTGAATTCCACGCTGTGGGCCACATCGAGGACCAACGGCGTGGCGCGTGCCAAACAAGCCCACGCCAAACTGGAGCAACCGATCGCGTACTTCTTCACCTCCGAGGATCCCCGTAGACACGGAAAGTCGTACAACGTCCTTTCCAGCTGGTTCACCACCTGTTCAGCGACCTCCCGGCAACCGGTTTCCGCGCCGGAAGTCGCTAGCTGCCTCTTCACGCATTCCTCCAGTTCCGGTGTCGTCCGAGCATTCGCGGTGCTGCTACCGTTTAAAATTTTCACCACCTCCAGGTATCTAGACGTCTGTATCGTGCCAGCCAATCGCCACGAGAGCTGCGAATCAATGTCAAAATCATCGAATCCTATGAAATCGAGAAACGATTAAAAATTCAACTCGAAAGCTTTCATGGATTGGAGGCAGGATTGGCTTTTATTTTTCAAGGAAAAAGTTCACCTTCTTCGTTCTTCTTTTTTTCGTGGGAGGAGTAATTTACGCAGGATCCGCACTGACAATCCTATGATTTATTCACCGCGGTAAATGGATTTCACCTCGACGCGTGCTCTTTACGACATCGTTCCATACGGATTTTCCAGCTTCCAGCGAAACGTAGAGAGGGTAAAAAGCGTTCGTTGGAACTTTGAAAATTTACAATGCCGACCGAGAAAATTGACGACGCGACGTACCAGAGAAAAGAGTCGAGGAAAATGGTGCGTCGTTTTCACGAAAACCCTTTGTCAGGGAAACATTTTAACGAGCTTATAGCTCAATTATCGCGACAGGAGAAGGTCGAAAGATCGGCGAAGAAGAAGCTCGCCCTCCTTGGATACCCCAATCGATGTTTGCCCGTTCTATTTCAATTAAATACTCGGCACAAGATCCGATCGAGGGGACTTGGAAGATCGCGGGAACACAATTCTTTCCCAACGCGTTTTCCTTCTAACTGTTGTACGCCGCGACACCGTTACGAGTCGAAAAGTTCACGCGCGTATGGAGAATCATGTTTCACGCTCTGTTCGTTCGTTCGATCGGCGCCAACTCGTCTTTTTGCCAGCTCGCCAAAGCGACCGTAAAACCGATCGCGTGTCGTTATTCTTCGAGGTGTAAGCTTCGTTGTTCCGGGAGCGGATTTTGCGGGGGTGATAGAGAATGGTAAACGGAGGGAAAAAAAAAGGTGACGACCAAGACAAAAGATTTGATTGTTCCGGCGGTGAAAAGCAACGAGGTACAAGAGGCAACCGGACGACTGACAAAGAGATGTATAGAATGGCTTTCGTCGTCGGTATTTATTTTAGTTCATCGATTTCCTGGCTATTGCGCGCGTGTATAGGTGTACGGAAAGGTAGCTCTGTATGCATGCAAAGTAATAGCCCTAGGCTGACGGACTAGCGCCTCTGCCACTTGGCGGCTGTACACTCGATCGCAAAAGTGCACCCTTACCCACCCTCTTCCCGCTACCCTCGTCTCAGCGAACCCTCGGCACCCCTCTCGCGACCGGCTTTGACGTTAATGGTCGATCGATCGGACGAGAGACAGGTGCGTGGTGATGGTGGTGGTGGCAAAAATAATCTTCGTATCGTGTTCTCGCACCCTTTTCGATGCCACTCCAAATTCATCCGTTCTACCTCACGCGTTAAATAAATTATCAGAATACTATTCAATCCTAACTTTGCTTTGTTAATCTTCTTAAGGCGGACGGGGGGTGAAGACAGGGTTGAAATTCAGAGGATTGGTATTTGACTGTTCAAAGTTTACGCGTTTGGTTTTCGCGGTTAAACACGTTGAACGACTTAAATCGTAGCGCGAAATAGGAACCTTGGTTGTTGAAAATGGAGCTCTCTTTGCAAGCTCTTTCGAAGCTCGAATACCACAACGGCGCAAGTGCCGGATAAGTATTCATTCACGTTCACTCGCACGCTCTAGTGTGTGTCTTTCCCATTAGACACCGACTCTTTCCCTCTTTCCTTCTCCTCAAACACTTCTCACCACCCCTATGAATTCTCTCCTCTAACTCAACTTCGTTTTAGTTAACCCCCTCGCGCTCCAATGATCCTATTGTTTCGTTATCGATTCGTCTATCTTCTATTTCGAAATCTAAGTCTCGGATAGAATGTAAGTTACTATCTTTAATAGAGGGACCCACGATGTATAATTTCACTTGAGAATGTTTTAATTGAAATACATTTTTCTTATTACACCAACTCGCTACTTTAATTACCCTCGTATTTTTATCCATGGGAGAGATCTCTGATAATAAAAAAGTTTGTTAAATGAAATGTTGCTAATTCGTTATTTCAATGGCTGGCTAATTAACGCTCTCTGATTCTCGTGAAAGTTCCGCCAGTTCTGTCGTAGATTTTTCAAGCTTGCGTGCAGTTGCTCGATTACCAGAGTTTCATCGAGGCAAATGAATTTCACGTTTCGAATGCTCGACAATTCTGTCTCTTTCATACGACGTAACGAGCCGCGACATAACGATAAGGGTTTCCAGATAACAAAGGACCATTTAAACAAAACCTTCGAGTGAATGGGAAAAAAGGAACGCGCGATAAAATTGACGGAAAAAGAAACAAACCCCTCGATCGGAGATGAACCGAAAAGCACGATGAATCGCGATGATTGACAGCCTGCACGCAGAAACAATTGAATGAAAGGTTGGTTTGTTCTTTTTTGTTTGTCCATTTGTAACGAAACGGTACTTTGATTTTTCAAGTCAAAGGGAAGGGAAAATGATGGTTTCAATTGGAGCGTGAAGATACCTGAATATTTTCCAATCCCTGCACGTGTTGGAAAAGATCTCGCGTGTTTCGACCGTTTGTACAATTTTAATTGAATACAGTAGCAAGAAAATGATTAGAAATCGACCGGAGAAGAAAACTAATGAAACTGCTTGAAAAGAGCGCGATAAGAATCGCGAGCGACGATTCATTTTTCTTCGCCAACTCGAGAGTTCCTATTGTTGCTATCGTTAGTCCCGTGAGGGCAAGATTTTCGACGATAAAGCGTCGAGCTGTCGCACGATAACGCGTGTCGAGTTTCCACCGACACGTGAAGAGAAAGAAGAAAAGTTAAAAACATTTCACGGGAACAAAGTTTAAAGTTCTTTTATCCAGGGAGAAATGTTGTCGATAAAAGTGGTTAAAAGAAATTCCACGGTTTACGTTGTCGCTGTGAATGTCGTAAAATAATCGTCATAAACGTAACTGCATATGGAATTGATTAACGTCGCGAATCGCGACAACGGGGAGTCGTAAAGTTACCGGCGCAACTTCCACTAATAAAGTTTCGTCGTCGAGTTTACTGTTTCCAGTTTCGTGCAACGCGTGCTGCGGAATAATTGCAAATATTTAACGCGACGAGAAGTATTCGAAAATGTTAATAGAGAAGTGGGTGGAGTTAGGTAGACGGAAGTCCGTCGGTCAACTCGGTGCCTGAACTAGGATGCAAGCGCATTAAGGGTGACGGGAGGTCGGTACGATTATTCCTACTTTACGTAATGTGCCACTTACCACGACCACTGAATAGAGAATCTTGGCTTTCAAGTCGGGGGCGTCTTTCAATGGCTCCAAAGCGTCCAAGGCATCCAAGGTATGCAAATGCGCTTGCCCGTACAGCGCAGCGTATCTTTCGACCAGTCGTTTCGTGCTCGCCTCCTCGCAGCAAGTCGAATTCGAAAAATTCTCCTCGAACCTGTGAATCTCGCAGCTGCCCTTCCTGACCACCGGTTCCGGCGTTGGACTGCAACTCTCATCCGTATGATAGCCGGCACTGCTGCTGGATTCCTCTTCGTAATCGTCCGCCAGATTCTCGGCCAGATGGAATACCTACGCGAAAATATTTCAAACACGCTGGACATTTCGAAATAGGAAAATTCAACGTCCTTTCGCGAAGCTAAGACGATGCTCGATTTCCGAGGGGATCGACGAATAGCCGAGTGAAAGCAGTGTTCCCAGGAGAATCGGAATAATTATTCGATTCGCGATAAGCCCATCGAATTCGCCTTTACCACGAACTCGTTCAGCCACGTTTTTAATTAATAATTATATCGATGACCTGGATTCTTTTTTTTTCTTTTTTTCTCCATAGAATCGCGACACGTTTTCACGGGAAACGAGAGAAATCTTTCGCACGAGTCTCGCGATGAACGGCGGGATTCATACTTTTCTTAAGAATCATCTCGACGACTATTGAATTCGATGGAACGAAACTGCACGGAATCTTCGGAACCTTCTTCCTGTTATCGCAAATCCAATTTGAAGGGAACTTCGAACCGAGTCGAACGTTCTTTCGAAGCGTTAAAAACTAGAGGAATTTCATATAACCATCCGCGTTTTCCCATCGCCGTTCGATTCTCTTGAAATACGGAAAAATTTCCCGTCCGGCGTGGAAACGTCTCGTTTACGTTCATCGGTTTAACGAAATGCTTAAAGCAAACATTTCAGTTGCGGCCGGGCGTTAATTAATCGCGCGAGATATCCGAATCGAGCGTTATTATGATAGCTCGTAACTTGTGTATTAAAATTGAATTGAACAACTGGAATACCTGCAGGCGACCGTGTTAATGGGAATTGGTCGAAGCGTTCCATTAAATCGCTCGAATTAATGGTTTACGAAGACTCGGATGTTGCTGTCGGCAGCGATCTTTCCGAAAATTTCACCGCCCTGTATTTTCGAGGGATTACATTAATTTACATGACTTTAGATAATTCGAGGTTGTTTCAATTTTGTAAAGGATTGATTATCCCCTGTGGTGGGTAGTTAACTTTTAATCGGTAAGAGGAATTTTTTCTGCGGCTAGGTGAACACGTATTACATTAGCAACAAGGACGGTCGCTGCAGGCAAACTCGCGTAATATAAGATCACGAAGGGGTCCTTAAGGGATATCACGTGAACGTGGAGAGTTTGCGCTTACGAATCCAGTTTCGTTCATCAAGCTGCTGAGCCACCGTCTCATGGGGATGCTATCAGTTACTTTGCAACTGTTTCACGTACCAGCCAAATATGTAACTACATCTGTTACGTTTTTATGTTAAACATCGTAATAGAGATATTACAGAGGCGAGAGTGTTCTTTTTGAAATATTTCACGAAGATTAAAAAACCGGTAAGAAACGAAAGTTTAATCTACCTGTAGATTATCTTGATCCATCAATTGCAGAGCCAGCTCGCAACCCCTGGAGAATTGTAAGAGGCTGGCAGCCAACGGTGGATTTTTCGTGTTTCCAGCTAGCGTGGATTTCCTCAAGGCCGTCCATTGTCTGAGCGCCTCCTTGTCCTGTTCGACCCTTCGTTTCAGCTCGGATAGCAAGCTTTCTAAGCCGCTCGGGTCACCAGCTTTCTCCAACGTGTTCAGTAGACTCTGATTATCGATCAGCCTCTGCTGAATCTCGCTGTACTTTAGCGAAAGTTGCCTCTGGTGCGAGGCAGCTTGTACACCTTGATCAGCTGGAAAACGTACGACCATTACTTTCCTTCGACCGCGCGATATTCATTCGAGAAATCCTATGATTTCACTTATTCCGTGTGAACACGAACGCGGTAATAAACGAATCTATGATTTCACTAGTTCTAGAAAATTGTCACGTGTTTCTGATCGAAACTTCGTCATCGAATCGACGAAGCGTGATATTAAATTATTCTACGATTCGAATATCAAATTAATCACCAATCTCGATAAATTCCAAACCAACGACAATTATTCGTTAATTAGTTGGAAAGTGGAAATTACACTCGGTTGAGTACTGTCCTTAAATCGTTGGATTGCCATGTGAATTTCATTTATTCGAACAAATTGGAAATAAGGGCGAAAGAAAATTCTGAATACGTTAGTTATTACCTTTGTGAGTTCTGGCGTGTTTCCCAAAGCTCTCGACTTTGTGCACTGCCAATTTGTATGCTTCGATTCTGTTCTCGAGCTCCTCTTTCATCGCGACCGGAAGAGGAAGCAAATTCGACCCGGTACCGTTCTCCGGATTGTTCACTTGGCAAGAAGGTACCAGCCCGTGTTTACCCAAACCCTCGACAGCTCTTTCCAAAGATCTTTTTCGCGTGACCAGGGTATTTCTCGCGTTCGGTGCCAATCTGGCCAGGGACACCAGCAGTTTGCTCCAGATCCTCAAACGGAAGTGGTCCTGGCTGGTCGAAATCAGATGCACCACCCTCCAGAGTACTTGTTCCACTCTCAAAATCTTTGCATCGTTCACGTTCAACTCGACCAGCCTCGAATAGAGAGCCTCTAACAGAGACAAACTGTGCGGGAGAGTTTCGATCAACAGGTCCACCGGAATATCCGGTAGGGTCGCCTTCAGGGTGTACTGGGGTAGCTTCATGAGAAAACTGGCTGCCTCTCGGTACTGTCTTCCTTCGTACAGTCTCAGCAATCTGTGAACAAAAAAATGTAACATTAAATCAAATTTGCCCTGACAATTTCACGAATTATTTTCCTTTCCTTATCTATAATGAAATTTAATTAATCGGTGGTATCGAAACACGTTAATCGCACAGTGGGTAATTAATGGGTTGATTACGAATGATTAGCCGGGATTTCTGGCAAGGTTCTCGTACCTTCTCAGAGCCATTCTAGGGTTCGAACCTTCGTCCTCGGGTAGACCGATTGGACTGACTTGAAATTGAGAACCTGGACCCCATACGAGTCTCTGAATGGGATTCCTGGGTCGTTCCGGTCTGATCCTCTCGCAGGAGTTCAGTCCAGCCGGTGGCACGGTTCGTCTGCTCATCTTGCTATTCTCTACTACCACTATCTCTACCCTTTTTTCTCCCTTTCACGTTTCACCTCCACTGGCAGTCTTAATTCCAGGAAAATTGTTCAATTCATTCGCGTTTTCTGATCGACCTTTTCTTCGACGCTGGTCTTGCTTCGTCTTCGGCCCTGACCTCACCCTGTTTTATCGTTTCCCATGCCCGAATCGTCTTCTACGTTTCTTTCGTTAATTTGGACCAGAGGGACCTTTCTTCTTTCCTTCGGGTTTTTGCCAATCTCTCAGATTGCAGATCCTTTACCGTCTCAAGATATCGAGGATATCGATGACGCGGCGAACGAAAGATTAATTTCTTTTCTAATCTTCTTAGAAAAGAATTAGCGATGAGCGTAATCACGTTCTGCCACTTTCGCACTGGTTAAACAACGACTATTCATTGAGAAAGGAACGAGTGACTCATTTCAACGAGGAGACCAGTCCACCGGTCGGTCTCTGCTTTCTTTTCTCACAATCTCGATCCTTCTCTCTTTCTCTCTTTCACGGTTTCCTCTAACGGTCGATGATCTGCCGGTACGAAATTCGGGCTGGCCTATAGCCCGCGGCTCGACCGGCCCACTTATCCTTAAACCCGTACGAAATAATTTAGGCAAAAACCTTCTACCAACGAAACCTTTCTCGTTCGCCACCTTCGCGTATCATCGATATCGAATTATCGTTGAACAACCTGCTCGCGTATTCTAATCCCGATATCTTCTGCCGTGAATCTTTTATCGGGAAACGTCTGAAGGCTGCTTTTAAAGTAAAAGCAGGATTTCAAATAAACAGCAAGAAGAGAATTCTTGGCGTTGCTGTAACACGCTCTTAGAACGTGCGAAACTATTTCAAACGGAAGTCCGTGGGAGAATCAGATGTAAATCAGAGTCGTACAGAATTTTTCTTCCAGAAGAATATCGTTCAATTTCTGCACCGTTGCTTACCGAACAGACACTCCGCAAATCTATCGAGCGAAATATCCATCGACAAATATAATTTATTATACGGACCGCGGTGAGCCGTTTTGTAAATACATCGACACTTTACGAGGGTGCACAAAACGTAACAGTTTACTCGATTAAATCGACGCGAAACTTTCTGCGATTTCAATTACGATCACAATGGAACCAATGACCAAGTTTTTCCTCACTGATCGAGACTTTTAGTAAGTGGACTTGCAAGAGCAAGAGTGACACTTGCAGTAGTCACACACTGGAGTCGGTGGAAAATGTCGCGAACGAGGATCCCGGGGAAACGAGCGAATTTTCGGCCGTGAAAGCCGGCTGATCCGTCATGTCTGCCAGACGAACGGACAACGAAATCCTTGCTAGCCTCTCGGAAGCTGCTCCTCTACCACGATGGAGGTGGAACACTGAGGGAAACGCGTGAGATTCATGCCCCCCTTGACGATGGCTTCTCTTTTCTTAAGCCACCAGTACATAGCCAATCTCCGTTTCTTTCTCACTGTACCTAGTACACTTGGATTTTCTACCTTTCCTGCAGTTGCTTCGGGAAAATTGGGAAAGATAGATTTATGAAAGTCAGAGATATAAAAATCCTTTGAAATATTGGATGCTCGGAATTTTTAACAGATCTTTTAGATTCACCGTTTCGATAAGGAATTCTTTAGGGAAGGAGAATAAAGAAGCAAGACACGAGATAAGGGAAGGATGACGAGCACCATAAGGTACCAGGAGCTCGGGAAATGAAAATAATGAACGGCCGGGAAAACGAGGCTAACGTGATCCGACACTGCGAGTGCACCGGCAAAAGGAAATCTTCTTACAAGAGACAAGGATAATAAACGAAGAAACAGCGGATAAAAGGAGCCCTGTACAAGGTACAAAGTCTTCGGGGGATATAATTACAAAATAAGAAGAATCGTGTTTCTTAAGATTAGAACGCGTCGAATGATTTTCTCGAAAGATGGTTTAGTTTATTAAACGAGCCTTGATTGTACGGATCGACGTTCATTAAATCGATGCAATTTCGCGTTAAACGAGAGGCGAGGAAGAAGGGGACGAAGGAGAAAGAAAAAATGAAGGCGAAGAGGAACCGGAGACGAGGATGACGACCTACTGTCCTGCATACCGAGTCTCGCTACCATCGCATCCAATGATACACGTGCTCCAGAGGAAAAACGATCAATCTACAGGTCGTTCCAAAGGAAATATACAAATTGTAAAAATTGTAGATTAATCCCGGCAAAGGGAATCGAAAGCTACTTTGACGGTTCAACTTGCAGAGCAGAATGTTTAAGTCTTGCACGAGAGCCAATTAAAAGTTACGCGTGTACAGATACGAATACGTACTCTTGGCAGGCATTATCTTCTAGCACGTGCAACTGTTACGTTAACGAGCGTAATAAGATTAGTGTAAGTTGTTCGGAGTAGCGTGTAGACAGGGTGGTTCGTGAAAATCCGCACAATCTCCTTAGGTACAAAGTTGCGAAGGATTTTCAGTTATTTTTATGTATTTCCTGGTCGGTTTTCATTTCTCTACCCTTCTCTTCCGCTGCAACTTTCATCCTCGTGCAATCATCTTTATTTCTATCGACACCTGACGCTTCCGTTCCGTCAAACGTCAGAGAAATTTCGAATATCCTGGAAAACGGTACTCTAAACCGATATAGTTATACCTGGTAATGTTCTATAATAAACAACACCGATTTCTCCTAATGGAACGGTAAAATATTAAATCGTTAATTGAACGCGAATTCGATGAATACGTGATAGACGGATAATTTGTTAATTACTTCATCTATACGAAAGGATTATTTATTACACCTACGTACGATGAAACATTCGTTGTTTCGATTGTAAGCATTAAATGGAAATGCAAACGTTGACTGCGACGTAAATGTCTCGTGATTAATAGCTTAATTAGTTAGCGATTAGAGGGAACGTCTTTGCTCGTCGCGTCTAACGCGATAAATCAAGGGATTCGAAATGGGTTCGCCTTTACGAATCGGTCGAAAATTAATTTTCTCGTCGAGTACGATTGTGTTGGAAGCGAGTCGACGGAAGCGAGACTCTGGGAAAGCTGAGAATCTAAAGGAACTTTCTTACATCGACGCGCTATTATCCGTTTGATTAATTAAAATATTTTTCACTTCTTTTCAGATCGAAATTTTTTTTTTTTGAAATCCCAGTATAAATTGAACCCGAGGACCCGTCGTTTCGTGTTTCAAAAAGCCTTTCTCTTCATCGATGTTTTATAGATCCCACGGGACGTCTCCGCGAAAGTCGCTTTAAAAGCGATCACGTAACGAGATTGCGTTCGAAACTTAGAAGCTTCCTTTCGGTCTGGATATAAATCATTTCTCGAATCATCTTCCAACTTGTTCTAAATTATTCCTGATACCAGTTTACAGTTGGCTATAATTCTTGCTCCTCGCATCAATCTTCCAATTCTCTTTCTCTAATTAAACGAGTATTGTTTCGTAAAAGCATATTTAAACGTCGCTAATGTTCTTTATACGTTATCCGGGTTATTCGATGGTTAACGAAGCGTAGGAAACCGCGAACAAGATCGTTTCGATTACAGTAAAACCTGGATAAATGCAACGAAAGAATGCTTGGATAAGTGCAACATCGCTATCCCCTCCACTTGGGGGGATTCCCTTAGACGAGAAAACCGTGTAATATGATCCGACCGTAATATCGGTGTGACTAATACTAATTGAACGATAAAACTTTTTTATTTTTAACTTTTTCTTAATGAAACTTTTACTAACGCATTTGTGAGATTTTTCTGATTAAAAAGACACCAAACATGATATAATTTGAATTATATTTATAAACAATAGTAATAGAATAAACAACATAGAATTGACACCACGACTGAATATAAATGATGTCGGCTGAATACAAAACATGTGTACGGACGCAGAATCAACACCTCGCTTGGATAAATGCAACATTAAATGCCCAGAATCGACACCTCGCTTGGATAAATGCAACATTAAATGCCCAGAATCGCCACCTTGCCTGGATAAATGAAACCTTTGAAACCAGAGCCGACACCGCGACTGGTTTTGATTTCGATCTCTGTTGCTTTTCGCCAACCTTTAATATCAATTTTAGCAAGTAATTATAATTGAAACTATATCGTGTTTGGTACCATTTTAATCAGAAAAATTTCACCAATGCGTTAGTAAAAGTTTCAATAAAAAAAAGTCAAAAATAAAAAAGTTTTATAGTTGAATTAGTATTAGTCACACCGATACCTTTCGGCTCTTTCCTTTCATCATCAAACCTCTCTCTTTCCTCCACTGTCTGTCCCTTTCTACGTTCACGTTTGACTGGTCGTCGCGTGTAACCCGAGATTCGACACCTCGCTTGGATAAATGCAACCACTGGGTCCCAATCTTGGTTGCAATTATCCAGGTTTTACTGTATCTGGCAGCTTTCGAATCCGGTTGGATTCGCGAAAAATTCATAAAACGTGCTCCAGAAGGCAAGTTCTAAGTGCCGGCAGTTTCTCGCGTCTACGAAACTTTTCTGATTCACCTTTCCCCGCGACCCAAGTCGATAATTCACAGACGGAGATAGAGGAAAAAATTCTGCTGCCAGGGGGTGTCTGAGGACGTTTGGAATATTACTCAGAGGCAGGGGTTCGCGAAATCGAATTACTCCTCCTAAATCTTGGAAGCGACGAAAGTTTGGCAAGTTTCTCTGAACGTTCCTCGCGAAGTTGGCAATAAAAATTCTGATGTGTTTACGAAATAAACGCACGACAGGTTTGAAAACCTTCTTTTACCCGCGGCTTCGACGAATGAAGTTAGTCCTGACAGAGATGGAAGGGAAATTTTCCTTTTTTCCCTCAGTTTCGTTTGGTCGAGTGGCAAAGCCGACGGAATATTCATTCGGTCTTTATCTTTCGTCTCGACTGTCCTCAAACTTTGCCCTCCACCCTTTATTTCCCCCTCCTTTAAGTTTCCCAACGTCATTAGTAGCCGTGTTTGTATACAGCGAACCTTTCGTTCAACCTAGCGCTTATCTTCGCGAAATTACCACCGCCTCCTCTATCCTTTCGCCTTTAATCTGTTTGCCCTGCAATCATTAGCCGTTCATCCGAACCTACGGTTCCGAGCTTTCGGCAGGGTAGCGAGGGTGCTTTTGAAAGAGTAGAAACGATTCTACCGATAAACATAACGACGCTTTTCAACGAACATTCCCAGACGATTCGTCTCGTCTCTAGGATAAATCTGATCTCGTAAACGAAGCCGGTTTCGCGTTATCTCGTTTGCGAAATTTCAACGTCTTCGCTCGAACGATTGGGAAATTATGAAAGTTCGAAAAGGATTACGAAGGTAATAAAATTCCAGAACAAGAAAATTTAAGGAGCTTTCGTAGACTGTTTCTCGCGAGTTCGATCAGCTGGAAACTGTAAAAAAGGAAAATGGAAAAACGAAAGACTCGGCGAGATATAAAGTGGCGGCGATGCTTAAGGGGTGAAGCAAAACACTGTCGAGTGGCAACGAGGGTGTAAGAAGAACAGAAAGACGTCAAGAGAAAGGGGTGTTTTTTTTCATTGAAAAACGAACAGCAGTTCCTGTAAACTAGTCGTTACACAGAGAGAAAGGAGGCAACGAGGGGGTGGAACGATCGGATTAATGGAATCTCTTGGGTCGAAGAGACCGAAACCTCTCTTAATTTCAGCTTACCTTCGAGCTCGAGTCGAGACGAGCTGTTTCGCCATCTTCCAACGGCAACCTTCAAAGATCGGCCAGGAGAAAAAAAACTAGCGAGAAAAGCGAGTTACCGCGAGACGAAGGAGACAAAGGAAACGAGAGGGTTGGAAACCTTACCATTGAAACGGAAACGGTACGGTTATGTAATTTGTTTATCCCAACGTTGAATAGAAACATGCTGCGTTTAAGGTAAACGAAACAGAATTATTCCTCGGGAAACGTCAACGAAATAACGTGGTTGCAAAGCGGACGCGAAACATTTATTCAACCAGAACTCCAACCGCGTACTCCTGTTTTCATTTTATTGTAAATGGAAAACTGAAAGAGTCGAAGGTAATTGTAACCGGTCGACAACGCACCGGTTAAACGGTTAGGTTGAAAAAAAATTCCTCCGGCAAGCTCTTTCCGTGCAATTCCACCCCCGCTGATGGCTGAATGGGGAGAAACGTTCGATACGAAGGGGATTGAAAAACGAAGTGGTTGAAAGATGGAAGAATTCGATGGGATTTCTTTTTAATTATCCGCCGTGGCAGTCA